TCGACTAAAGTGTTCATTCTCTGCTACTGGTTCCCTCCCGGAACCTCTTTCCTGCCTACAGCCTGGTTTGCCTACCAGGCGGACCATGTGCTCCCCTCACAGAGGGTCACTATGAGCACGCGGACTCCTGAGTCTGGTCAGACGGTCGTAGGCCTCTCGTGAGGCCTCCCAGTTAGATCAGCCCTTAGGCCATCACAGGCCTCCTCAGTGTTTGAAACACAAGCACTGGGTAGATCCATGGATCGAGTAGAGAAACTCCCCTCGCTGGTAAGGGTTGGAAAGCACTTGCTGAGTCATACTCTCCGGGATATCCCGTCTCTGAGATCCGGGCCGAATGGTTCACTGCCAGCTTCGCAGTCCCTCGGGTTGGATGCCTTACCTAAGGCAAGTGTCCAAAGGCTCTGTCTTCGGACAGACAGGAAGTGGCCAGACTAAGTGTCTATGCTCTGACGCCAGGTCAGGCCGTCCTGGTGGCACTTCGGGGTGAGTACGTTCCCCTGAATAGTGACTGGCTGGGGTTCCTTCGGGTTCCCTAGCCACATTCCCTAGAAGGGACCCCTTCTAATTGAAGTTGTGGTCCTAGGCCTTTGAGCAGGCCCAGTTAGGCCTTTCATTTAACCATGTTTATGGAGGTTTTCCTGCTAGGCTTATAGCTTGGGCTATGACCGTAGGGAATGCTGTCACTGACAGCCCAGTGTGACCTGACGGTGAGTGGTTCTAGCGTTTCATTTGAAATTGCTGGTTCTGACAGTTGTCACTGCCTTTGGGCATGCACTCCCCTCAGCATGGCGGAGTGGGTATTTCGTTCCCCATAGCGTCGAATGACGTATTGTTGAGTTCCCTTCGAAAGGGAACGTCTCAGGTTACGACTGTAACCTTTGTTCCCTGAGAACAGGGAACGAGACAATACGTCTCCCTGCCATGCCTCGGGGCCCGCCTGCCGTACAGTCCCTTCAGACGATAAGGTGATTTGTCATGTTTGCAAGGCGCCCTTATATACTTCCAGGTCGCACGTTAATCATTCACGTTAATGATTCACGGGCTGTCGCCGGTCAATGTGATTGACGTGATTTGATAGTGATTTCAGACACCTGTCACGCCTGAGGCGTTCCCCATAGCGTCGAATGACGTATTGTCTCGTCCCCTGTTCTCAGGGAACAAAGGTTACAGTCGTAACCTGAGACGTTTTCTTGGCACACTTTAGGCCCCTTAGTGCCAATTGGGCATCGTTTAAATGCCACGGCCTACCTGAGCATTGTTTCTGACCATGTCCATCCTCTGATGGCTACTTCCAGCAGGATGATGCACCATGTCACAAAGCTTGAATCATTTCAAATTGGTTTCTTGAACATGACAATGAGTTCACTGTACTAAAATGGCCCCCACAGTCACCAGATCTCAACCCAATAGAGCATCTTTGGGATGTGGTGGAACGAGAGTGTCACGTGTCTGTCCTGTCTTGTATTGCACTTGGGTGTCTTTGTTATGTTGGGCCATGTGCTCTCATTATTGTTTGATCCCTCCCCCTTGTTACCTGATTAGTGTTTGAGTTCTTCCACCTGTTCCCTCTTGATTTGTTCCCTTTTTAAGTCTCCTCTTGTTTGCAATCTTTGTCGGATCGCTGTCATATGTTTTCCCAGAGTCCGTGTGATGGTCTTCGTGTTCAGAGTCAGTGTTTGTTCTTCAAGTTCAGTTTTGTTTAATGTCTCATTTATTGTGTTTTCCCCCTTGTGGGTTTTTGCTTTGTGTTTTGTTTTGTTTTGTTAATAAATCATCCGTTGCTGCACTTGAGTCCTCCTCTCCACTTTTTGTAACTGTAACGTGACAGAACGATCCGACCATTTGAGGACTCAGCAGCATGGATGACGATGATTTTGACTGGATGGATGATGACGTTTGCATGGATGAAGATGACTTGGATTGTCCAGACTACACAATCGCTACATTTGGATCGACCCAGTTTTCCACTATCTTTCATGACGGAATGACTCCGTCCTCTAACGAATCCGGCAGAATGAATATTTTTCAGGCCCTCGCTTTTATGGTTCATCAAAGGGAGGAGTCAGAGCGTCTGGCCAGGTTCTCGGGGACCCGTGGATGTCGTAGAGGAGGAGGAGAGGGTCGAGAAGAGGTTCAACACCACTCTCCATCCTGGCCCCCCTTCGATCCTGGGCCAGTGAGGGACAGCTTAGAGCCTACTTCTCGCCGTCACGGACGGAAAAGGAGGAAACGCCCATCTGCACAGCGAGAGACTGTTCACGTCACGTCGGTCCAGCGAGAGACTGTTCACGTCCTGTCTGCCCAGCGAGACACTGTTCACGTCACGTCCACCCAGCGAGAGACTGTTCACGTCCTGTCTGCACAGCGAGAGACTGGTCACGTCACGCCTGCCCAGCGAGAGACTGTTCATGTCACGCCTGCCCAGCGAGAGACGGGTCACGTCACGTCTGCCCAGCGAGAGACTGATCACGTTCCGTCTGTCCAGTCTGGGACAGAGCCAGAGATCCCCTTTGGCGTGGCCACCAAGGTTGTGACGGACTATCTGGAGCGTCTGGCTCGGATCTTGGAGATGCCAGTCTCTGCTGTTCCAGAACCGGAGGCAGAGCTAGTGTCCGCTGTTCCTGAGCCGGAGCCAGTGTCCGCTGTTCCTGAGCCGGAGCCAGTGTCTGCTGTTCCTGAGCCGGAGCCAGTGTCTGCTGTTCCTGAGCCGGAGCCAGTGTCTGCTGTTCCTGAGCCGGAGCCAGTGTCTGCTGTTCCTGAGCCGGAGCCAGTGTCTGCTGTTCCTGACCCGGAGCCAGTGTCTGCTGTTCCTGAGCTGGAGCCAGTGTCTGCTGTTCCTGAGCCGGAGCCAATGTTTGTTTCTGTGTTTGTGTCTGTCCTAGTGGCCGTTGCTGTTCTGCTGGCTGTTCCTGAGCCAGAGCCTGTTCCTGAGCCGGTGCCAGTGCCAGTGTCTGCTCCAGAGCCGGAGCCAGTGCCAGTGTCTGTTCCAGAGCCGGAGCCAGTGCCAGTGTCTGTTCCAGAGCCGGAGCCAGTGTCAGTGTCTGTTCCAGAACCAGAGCCAGTGCCAGTGTCTGCTCCAGAGCCAGTGCCAGTGTCTGCTCCAGAGCCGGAGCCAGTACCAGTGTCTGCTCCAGAGCCGGAGCCAGTGCCAGTTTCTGCTCCAGAGCCGGAGCCAGTGCCAGTGTCTGCTCCTGAGGCGGTGTCTGCTCCTGAGCCGGTGTCTGCTCCTGAGCCGGTTGCTGTTCCTGAGCCAGTTTCTGTTCCTGTGCCGTGGTCGCCCGAGTAATCGTCTCCGCCCTGGCCGCCCGGGTGGTCGTCTCCGCCCTGGCCGCCCGAGGGGTCTTCACCGCCCTGGCCGCCCGAGGGGTCTTCACCGCCCTGGCCGCCCGATGGGTCTTCACCGCCCTGGCCGCCCGAGGGGTCTTCACCGCCCTGGCCGCCCGAGGGGTCTTCACCGTCCTGGCCGCCCGAGGGGTCTTCACCGCCATGGCCGCCCGATGGGTCGTCTGCTTCGCCCTGGCCGCCCGATGGACTGTCTGCGTCGCCCTGGCCGTCCGATGGACTAAACGCTTTGCCCCTCCCGTCCCACCCTGGTCTGTCCCTCCCGTCCCGCCCTGGTCTGTCCCTCCCGTCCCGCCTGATGGAGCATCTGGTAGCCGCTCCGTAGGGAGGGGGTAATGTCACGTGTCTATCCTGTCTTGTATTGCACTTGGGTGTCTTTGTTATGTTGGGCCATGTGCTCTCGTTATTGTTTGATCCCTCCCCCTTGTTACCTGATTAGTGTTTGAGTTCTTCCACCTGTTCCCTCTTGATTTGTTCCCTTTTTAAGTCTCCTCTTGTTTGCAATCTTTGTCGGATCCCTGTCATATGTTTTCCCAGAGTCCGTGTGATGGTCTTTGTGTTCAGAGTCAGTGTTTGTTCTTCAAGTTCAGTTTTGTTTAATGTCTCATTTATTGTGTTTTCCCCCTTGTGGGTTTTTGCTTTGGGTTTTGTTTTCTTTTGTTAATAAATCATCCGTTGCTGCACTTGAGTCCTCCTCTCCACTTTTTGTAACTGTAACGTGACAGGGAGCTTCGTGGCCTGGATGTGCATCCCACAAATCTCCATCAACTGCAAGATGCTATCCTATCAATATGGGCCAAGCATTCTAAAGAATGCTTTCAGCACCTTGTTGAATCAATGCATTTAGATGCATGCAATGCAATGCAACGTAGAATTAAGGCAGTTCTGAAGGCGAAAGGGGGTCAAACACAGTATTAGTATGGTGTTCCTAATAATCCTTTAGGTGAGTGTACATCTTTCAAGAAAACAACTTAGCATTGGATTCGGTTGAAAGAAACCACACTACTGTAGTGTAAACTCATAAAATGTGTACTCGGAGTAAAGAAAAAGTTTTTAAAAAATAAAATACTAATATGAATATTTTATCTCAACTCAAAATGACTTTACTCCAGATATGCTTTAGTTTATTGCGATCAAAAAACCAAAAGCAAATTACAAAGGAGTAATTACATACCCAGTTGTCAAGAATCCAGTTAACACAAGAAAAAAAGAAAAGAAAAAAAAAACATTTAGTTTCATTAGTCCTGCCATTGGTCTTGTGTCTCTGGAGAGCTGAATTTCAGATACCAGATCAAATATGTATATGCATATCAAGGAAGTAGGAGTGAGTTCCTGTGGTGACAGAAGTAGGATGGTGAGCACACCAGCTTCAGCTATACTTACCTACGGTGTTCCTGTAGCTCACTTTAAAGGAATGCTAAATATATAGCATTAATGCAATGTCTTTCAGATAAAAGTTCCTGGCATATGCATGAATGTAGCCTACACACAGTTTTTAACACCTCGTGATCAAAATGGTCACAACACGTCTTCTCAAAACCGTCAAGGAAAGATTTCATTGTTTCTTCTTATAACAAAATGGCAGGTTTCTCAGAAACGGCAGAGCTTGGAGGTATAGTTCCCCCAAAATTGAAAATTTTGTCATTTACTCATCCTCATGTTGTTCCAAACCAATAGGACTTTTGTTCATATTTTTAACATTTGTTTAATCTACACTGGAAATTTTGTTTAAAACATTATGTATTTAACTCAGCATACATACGATTCAGAATTGAGGTACAGTATTTTTTTGTCAATTGATGCCAAAAATACAGGAATCAAAGATACAGGAATTTTATCATTGTCACATTACTCATAATGCAAGAGATCAGTGTGCTGCTAGTAATAATTCAGAATCTGAGATGGGCACAGTCTGTTTAGAAACGCTTTTATGTGATGTTTCATTTTTCTTTTCTTTTCTTTTTTTTAGTTTCTTCCATCAGAATAAATTGCTGTTATCCAACCCATCAGCTGCATTGAAGTTATTTCACCAGGAGGGCCAGATGTCACCATTGTACTATGAATAAGAAATTAAAAACCTTTTAGTTGGTTCAATAATAATGTGTCACATTTTTAAATGCATATTGTTCTGCATATTTCATTTTTTCTTATGTATATTTAACTAGAACTCGGACAAATAAGACTTTGTGTGCCAGAGGTTATACCTGGATGCTGTAAAATGTGGCTGTCCACTCAGTCAACTCATCCTCATTCTCACAGCACAGATACCTTAAAGAAAAAAGATCCAGAGAAAAAAGTCAGGTGAGCAGGGACATGGAGATGTGGTAGAATTTAAATGTTCAAGGATGTAGCCAACTAGTAAAATAAATTGTCTAACTGGTCAACTAGTAACTACTCATTGTTTATTATAACAAAACAGGTCAGAACAAGGATGTCCAAAAAATAGTGCAAAACTATATATTATAAATGATTTTATGATGTTCTTACTGAGAATGAGTACATTGTTACAAGGCTGTAAGCTTTGGAACATTAGGGAAAACATTTTTTGTAGGGTCTTTTTTTTTTGTAGAGACACAAATATACTAGTGATATTTAATTAAAGCAATTACAGAGTTAAAGGGATTTAATGGTTTTAATAGAATAAAGAAAAATATCAAAACAACTAGATTTTTTTAACAAAGTAATGCATTTGCAAATATATTTTTTACTGAAAGACTTTCCACGTTCATTAAGTTCATTCACAATATGAACACATTCATATTCATCCGGTCTCGCATCTCTCACGGAGGAGCGGAAGCATAAAGGGGGAGCGACGAAGTGTATACGCGAGAGAGGAACAGGCCTGCTCCTCTCTCGCTCATACACTTCGTCGCTCCCCCTTTATGCTTCCGCTCCTCCGTGAGAGATGCGAGACCGGTGTGCTTCACAGGTGCTGCTCATTAGCAATCGCACCACCGGCCTCGCGAGGTTCTCTCACGTCCCTCGGCCGTCCTGCTCACCACAATTCACACTTACTTTTATTATATTATAATGCTCGTTTTGAGGAAAATTAGGTTGTAGCTCATTATCTACGTTACTATGATTGGAAAAAGGTGTCATTTGTCTTTTTAGCAATGGTTAGATCACAAGTTATTGATCCGGGAAGTTCGAATCTGTGAATATATAACTTTACTGTACTGAACTCCATGAAATAAGCACTGACCATATTTCTTTATACTTAAGGCACCCCAGGTGAATAGGGTCAAAAAGATAACTGATATATATCACCATACTTCAGTTGATTGATTACATTGATAATTGCACAAAAAAAAATGTATAACAAGTTTACTGAAATGTTATGTTTAAATATGCAAATGAGGCGTTCTTTAATTAAATATGCACTAATTTGCATACATTTCTAGCAAAAATCTGGTCATTGGTCATTGGAACAAGTCAGGTTAAAAAAAATTGATATATTAGAGTCAAAGGCTTTTACAGAGCGAATTTTGGGATCTCTATTTATCACTCTACAAACCAAAAAAAAAATCACAATTCTTTTAGGAATAAAATGTTATATGAAAATTACATGTGTTCAAACCCCGTTTTTAAAAACCTTCAGAATATAGATAAGAATAAAACTGTAAAGTTTGGTACTACTGAAGTGGAGATTTCCGGCTCAATGTAGGAGGAAACAATTATTTTGAGAAAACAGCCTTTTAAAGATACTGTAATTGAAATCCACAGATGCAAATAGATAAAGTGGTCTAAAAGATACAGTTAAAAGTGTATTTTGGATGTTTTCTTTCCACTATTCTGAAAAAACACTATGAAAAGCCAAAAATCTCAAAATTGACAGAAGCATGAAAAACACAAAAGTTTTGCGAGAGAACGCAAAAGCTCTGAAAAATATTTTTTCCTCCCATCCCATATTTTTTCGTCCACCATCTCCCTTTAGGGGCTCCATAAATTAGATTAAGATTTAAGATAGAATTAGATTGTTGCCATGTTGACATGTCTGCTAAATACTTTTGATGGAAATGTTCGAGGTCCATATGCAACTGAATGTTCAATATTGAGGAAGACTAAATAAAAATCTGCTATAGACTCACCACTGCTGCTTGTCATGAATCAGCATTAGTCCCCATCTGTAAAGAAAATTAAAGAATTTACTACACAACACAAACTGCATCTCAGTACATGAGTTTATAATTGTGAGATAAGTGAGATAAGCTCTGGAGTAGATGTTGTGTTAAGGTGCTCTCGGTTTATTACGGGGTGGGTGGATGCAGTTTGCTCCGGCAACCATGATAGAGCTTGAGCTCTTTGGCAGGATATTCTCTCTCGCACTGAGAACCCTAAAAGAACAGAAGCCTTCAGAGATTAAAGATCAATTCATTCTCTTTAGTTTTTCACTCATGCAGTCTGCAAGTGTATTTATTGCTTCAGATATGTTTATGAATTTCTTATGCTTAATGCAGCTGGTGTGTAACCATACAGTATGAATGTTTACACTTTTACACACACCTGTAGTTCCTTGTGTAGTCTGAAGGTGTTGCCAGAAAGCTCACAATGACGAAGGTGGAAGTTTCTGCTACTTTCACCTTTAACCTCACAGACACGCAATGGCCCACTCTTACATAGATTCACCTTATTCTCTGCGCGCACAAACACACACACATTTTAACTATTTATTTAAGTCCACTTAAAAGAAATGATTTACAGGGACACAAATACTATAGATGCAGTCAAATGCATGCACATAATCAAGGACCAGTGGCATACAGCAGATCTTCACAATATTTAGCGTCACTCAGTTGTTATGGATACAAGTAGCACCGTCTCCGCCAGATATGACGGCTGCCTATAATAGCAGACAGAGCACAGTACTTTGCTAGCCGTTTAGCCACACACACACACACATTAGCAAACAACTTCTGCACTGCTCCATAAACAACTTAAACAATGTTAATGCACTAGGCTATTACTCAGGATGTAGTTTCTTATTCACTTAATTGTTGTGCATTCTTTATTGCACTATATTATGTACACTACACTACCAGTAAAAAACTTAGGACACACTTGATTTGGAGTCTAGAAAAAAAATGTTTCTTGTGACCTTATTAACGTTTTGAGCAAAAAAGTATATTGCTAAAGTATATATAAGTTTAGTAGACAGAAACATTGAGCCAAAATATGAATCTCATAGCAAAATTAAAATGTATACTTAAAAAGCATCTCAGAAGCTACAATATCGGATATTAAATAAATGAAAACTATTTCTGAACGCAAACAGATAAATTAACATTGTAAACAAGAATTTAAATGTGTATTTTAATATTTTTTCAATATTTTTGGAATATCTTGTGATGTATCACACTGGGTTTTTTTCACCCTTCTCATCATCTATGATGAATAAAATAGATTTTCAAAGACACTATGCATTGGTGTTTGTGTGACAAGACATACCCAGGTACCTCATGATGCTGATGATGTATTGATTCCTCTTAATCAACAGGTGGCAGTGACGACCAAGTGAGAAATAGAGTGGCAAGACTCTTTCCTGGTAATGCAGTGTTCTCGCTATTATAAAATAAAGTAAAATCCCTTAATCACCACAAAGTACATCAAAGTCAAGTTACCACATTCAGAGCCATGTCCAAAAGAGAAAGCTCAAGTACATTTTGAACACGACACCGTGTTTTGGTACAACAGAATAATAGATTAAAAATTAAACAACTACTATGATGTTAAAATGCACTTTTAAATTAAACCAAGAATGTTAGATGAATTAAAGCTTCTGTCATTGTTCCCTATTGCACTTGACAAAAAGCAGTTAATTGTTTAAAGCTCCAGTCCGTAACTTTTTTAAGTTAAAAATAATCCAAAATAATTATTATTAAAAAAAACTTATTCTGCCAGTGGTCAAAACTATCTGCTTGCCATAGCTAGATTCAAAACGGTTAGCTTGTAATAATGATTTTAATTCCAGTGGTACTGGTGGGTTTCCGCGGGAAATTCGAGCATATCTTTGCGTCATGACGTCACACCCGTACACATAAAGAAGGAGTTTCGGCTAGCCGGCTATACTGAGCGTGACGAGATGTTTAGATGTATAGGCTTTTCTCGCAGCACTTTACATAATTAAACTTATGGCATCCAGAAAGATCCAAACAACAATCATCAGTGTCAACTGGAGATTCAGCAGTTATAAAACCCAAAAGACTTCGTACTTCGGATTTAAGGTGGCTAGAGAAAGAGAAAGAAACCGTCTCATGCGAACACAAGGATTTAAACATCGGCGGGGCTTTTGAAAAGTGCGTGAACTCCGTGTTTTGAAGGGGTTCAAAACGGAAGAGGAGACGGCTTTTTTCTGCTGAACAAGTAAGTTAAGACATTTCAATAGTTCAATCGTGTAACAGTACGTTTTCTTAATTCACACAGTTATGGAGTTTCCTTTGTTGTGCCTTTCTCGTTTTGCTATTATGGAGAATATGAATTCTGAACTACGCAGGTAGCTGCTAACCATAAAACACATTAAATTTAACATTTGTCACGCAATGCTGATGTTGTTAACATGAACAATTTGATAACAAAGTAGGCTATAATTTGCACGGTTGCTGTAAATCCCGTTGATTAAATCTAACAAAGCTTATCATGTCGAATGCTTTTTCCCCCTTAGTTGGTCAGAACAAAAATGGATTTTACTAACTTGTTCAGAAGACATTTTCTTATGAAAATTCTTATGTTGGTCAAACTTTCAAAAAGTGAATCTGTGATTCTGTATGACAGTATCCACACAGCGCGGTGACTGACAGCAGCACTCGCCTCTGTGTTCATCCGCGCTGTTTCATGCCGATTTACAACCCACGTAAAGATAATAATTACGCGAATCACTGCAGTTACATGATTTCGAACAGAGAGATGGCGACAAAGAGGAAAAGATACGGACTGCAGCTTTAATGGGCTGTTTCATGGCCAAGTTTATCTAAAATCATTTAGGTGTCATATTTGAATTTGAAACCAGTATTTTTTGCCTCTTAGCATAGAACTAAAGCAGTAAACTAAAGCAAATCAACATGGCACTAAAATGAATCAATCAATCAGAAAAACAACTAAAATATTAAAAAACAGAAAGGTCATTCTTATTTTCATGTCATTGATCAGTGCCACTTTCAATAGGATCAAATCTCACCCATGTCCTCTTTCTCTAGAACCTCATAGCAGCTCCAGAACTCTTCATTGGCTTGCTGAATTCCTTTAAGCTCCAGCACCACAGAAACCAACTTGAATACGGTCATATCCGCCGCAACCTAACACAAAGAGTACACACACATAAAACTTCTACACTGATCTGGAACAAACAGGTGTAGTCCACACAGGTAAAGTACATAATTACAAAAATTTAAGTTAGGATTAAATGTCCACCTGAACGAGAACCCCTGCAACCTCCTCTTTCTTCTCCAGGTAAACAGCACAAATGGTGCTGGATGGAGTTCGACTCAAAGACTTCTGAAATATAATCAAGTCAGCAATTAATGTCAAATATCTCGGAAATACAATTATTCTAATAATTCATCAAATACTTTATTCAGTTTCGCCATCAAATCAACATGAGGAGTTCTTTACACAGACACACAGATTTTACAACTCATTATTAACAGCATTTAAAAATGTCCTTAACATAATAATGCCCATGTGTCCTGTGAACTCTGACCTGGGACTTGTGTTTATTCAGGATGACAGACGTCATGTTTAGCTGCCTCTGAAGGTCAGACTCTGAGACCTGTGAAAGAAGCTTCATCTCAGTCATCATTTCTTCAGGTTATTAACACCATATTCAAAATATTCCTAATTAATATTTAATTGATAAGTGCATCAGTTGATCTCTATGTCAGTGTGTGAATCAAATTTCAATATACATTTAAAGCCACACTGTGTAACTTTTGGACCTCTAGCAGTTGAAAAAGTGTGCGTGGGGTGGGGGGTCCCAGTGGTGCCTCCAAAAACCATCACTTCTGTCTTTTTTTCATTGATTAAGCAGAACTGAACTGAACAATCATCAATGTAACTAACTAATGTGATAAGTACCAACATTAAAGACAGACTCACGTTAAAAATGCTACAATAGTTTTGGATCAATTCCTCCACCACCTGAAATGCTGTGGTATCTTTTCCATCTCTCTGAAAAAGTGATGGACCGAACATGATACCAAGGTTTCGTACAGTCATCTGATTCTCATCAGACAGGTGCTGAACACTGACAAAGCAGAAATTCACATTTCAGGTAAAGTTCTTGGATGTACTACTAACAATAACCACATATCCAACTACATTCCTTATGACCAATTCAAATCAACCAGTCGTAGTCACAGAATTTTTTTTTAAAGCATATTAAACACTATCTATCCTATCTAGTCTGGGATGCTTAGAAGTTATCAGAAAGTAAACTATTGTTTTATAGTGATTTGGTTAGTACTTTGTAGCTTTTAGACAGCTGAGCAGGTCATATAATATACCAAACCAGATGGTGTATGAGGACTCTGAGTGTTTCTCTGTTAACATCTGGGAGGTTTGAGAGGAGAATCTTGTATCTATTAATCTTCTCACTTCTGTTCTCCAGACCTGCAGGGTGTTAAAAAAAAGTTACTTGCTTACAGTAGTGTTGGGCAACTCCCACTTTCTAAGCAGTTTTAAACATCTCATCTTACATTACTCCAATTTTTCTTCACCTGCAGCTCTAAGCCAGCTGTCGCTGTTCTCTTGTCCGTTTAACAGTCCGTCTTTGACCTCCCTGAGAAATCGTTTTAGCGTGTTAGCCACAACATGCACAGAATACTCAGACTCACACCACGTTACACTCCGTGCATCATTTTTAAATCTCTCCAGCAGTTTGGTCACATGAGAATTAATGCCACTCTCTCGGTAGATTCCTGATGACAACAGTCCTAAAAATAAAAAAATGTGACATTATGTTTGTGTTTTGAGTACACCAAATATTGCCATTTATTTTAACCAATTCTATTTTCCTACTTTTAGGAGTGTGATTTACTTGGTGACAGCATGAAGAAAAATAATTGTATCTGTATCTTATTTTTTATGGAATATAGCAGTATATTTATAAATGATTTATCCGTGCACATCATTATTTATTTATTTTTAAATCCATGTGCCCTTTAAATCTTCCCTTTCCTCTTGCAGCTATATCTCTTCTCTTCCCTCTTCCTCATTTGAGATTGCAGATACCACAAACCACAATGGTGGTCCGATTGTCAAAATCAAGCCTGTCCTTCATTTTTCTTGTTCAAGAAGCCGTTCCACTCGAATATACATCACAATAGGGAAGAAAAGACTAGCACAACTTCTGTTTTATGTTGACTTCAATAGACAAAGAACAATAGACTAGTGTATCTCAACCTTTTTGACTTTAAGGCTCACCCACTCACAATTTCCACCCAATTAAATACTTTAGAGCTTAGCATAACTAGAAATATGTTTTAGCTTATTTTAATACTTGTTTTGTCATATTTAAAATAATTTTTCATTTCTATAACAGAATGTTTGTGCTTTCTTCTGTAATGTGAATGTGTGTTTGTATACCATAACGTGTTACATGGTCCAGGCAGCGGTCAATAGTCACAGGGACACCCAGCTCAGTGAGTTGCTGCTGGGATAGCGGCTGATCTCCAGCACCGGATTTCTGCTGAATGTAGGTCTGCCAGCCCACAAAATGAGGCCTGCGGTCAGCTAGCAAATGCAGGGGTCCACCCCGCCACACCATCGCCAAGGAGCCATCACTGTCAGAGAGAGCTACATACACACACGCATTCATATATAAACATAGTAAATATAGATTTCATCTTGTCTCAGATTGGCACATGATTCTGCTATAACTGTGTGCTGTAACTCACTGAGCGTGACCAGCTTGCGCAGGTCGATTGTTTGTACGTTGTCTTCCAGTAACACATGCAGTTTGAAGCCGCTCAGGCAAAACCAACCAATGCCATGGCTGCCCTCTGTGCAGCGCAGGCGACCCAGACGATCACAGGTTCCACACACATCAAACAGTGCAGGAGGCAGCATAGCCTAAATAAGAAGGAAGTGGATCAGTTTATTTGTCTCCTTTCCCAACGTATTAGAATATAAGATAACCATTTTATTTCATAATGATATTTGCATAATATAAAGCAGCTTTACAGAACAATGCATGGAAGGCTGCAGGAAGGAAGTAGAGATGAACATTTAGAAATAAAAAACTATTACGGTAGATATTATGTTTGTGAAAGAAGTCTCTTACGCTCACAAAGGCTGCATTTATTTGATAATAATACAGTAAAAACATCATTAATATTGTGTAGTATAATAGCATAATATATAACAGTATAATGTTGTGAAATATTATTGCAATTCTATTAAAAATATTTTAAAATGTAATTTATTCCTGTGATGGAAAATAAACTTGTCTTATTATTACTTAATGATGAAAACAGTTGTTCTGCTTAATATTTTTGTGGAAACTGTTATACTTTTTTCAGGATTCTTTAATAAATGGGAAATAGAAATCTTTTGTAACATTATTAATGGCTTTAGGGCTTAAAGGGATAGTTCACCCAAAAATTAAAATGCTGTCATCATTTACTCACCCTCAAGTTGTTCCAACCCCGTAGCCTGAATTTCTTTTTTCTGCTGAACACAAAAGATGATATTTTGAAGAATATGGGTAACCATATTCAATGGGCCCCACTGACTTCCATAGTATGGGGCCCATCAATTGGTCGTTTGGTAACCAACATATCTTCTTTTGTGTTTAGCAGAAGAAAGAAGTTCATACAGGTTTGGAACATCTTTAGGGTGAGTAAATGATGACAGATTTTTAAATTTTGGGTGAACAATCCCTTGTTAATTTATTGTGCCCATGCTGAATAAAAGTATTAATACCTTTTGGTCCAGTTTGAAACCCCCTAATCTACAGCTCTTGTTTGTCCTCACAATATGGTATTTTCAAACAAGTGGTAAAAAAATGTGTTTATGGTTAAAAAAAAAAACCTGAAATAAAGAAATAATTTGATCACCATGGCAATAGCCCGAATCCAGTTCTTGGCAATGCTGCCATCATCGGTTCCAAACAGGTAGACTTTCCCCTCCTCAGAGTACAACTCAAAGGTGTGCTCATAGCTGCCAGCCAATTAGAGAGAACATGATAAATATAGCGCACAAAGGGATTCATGTGGTAAAAGTAAACTCAATTAAGGTTGAAGGTCATGGTTTATTACCAATGTTTTCCTGGGTTGTTGACAGAGAGGCAGATGATTTCACTGGTCTTCATGCCACCACACTTGTTGTGGCTCTGTTCACTCTTAAAGTAGCTAAACATTCCATCACCAAGACAACACCAACGCTGAGAGAAATCTACAATAGTCACACAAAAGGTTCACACACACACACACATGCACACACACACACACACACACACACACACACACACACACACACACATGAAAACTTGTAGATTACTAAAGCCTACAGTAAGCTATTGCATTTGAAAATGTCCTAAAACAATATAAAAGTTAATATAATTAAAATGTAATTATAAATGTTAATTCATGACTTTTCATGATATGAAAGTTTAACTTTAGTCTAATTTTGGAAGACAAACACATCCTCACCAGCACACAAGGCTTAGTATCCTTGAGATTTACTGGCCAGTCATCATACACCAATTTACTAAACCAATGAAACTACGAGGGCTCCACACACCTGCTTTGGTTTTGTGGTCTGTGATTGGCCGAGCTGAAGAGGCAATCTTAAAAAGGTAGCCGGAATAGGATCGAATGGACACATCTTTAACCACTGGCGTAAAAGACTCTGGTGAAGAACAAAGCAAGATGAGTTTAGACATAAAAGCTGAACCCATGAAACTTCTGAACCTGTGTATCTAAACACATATACATTAGATTTTTGTATGTATTTGTGCACCTGAGTTCAAGTTCTGCATAAGTAGCTCCGCTTGTACCGTTTGACCACTATGTTTTGCCAGAGACAGTGGAGAAGGGAATTCTGGGATACCAGTGTTGCACTTGATATCCGCCCCACAATTCAGCAGCGAGAGAGTATCCAACAAATCAGCAAACTGCACCGCTGAACACAGAGCCTAAGAAACCCAGAAAAACCAGACATGAGAGAGCAGAACATTCATTCAATGTGAATTTAGTGTCATTTATTTGGCATTTAGATAGAATTGACTAACTCTGTTGAGCGCCTCCTGTTGACCAAAGAGTATGTGGTATTTGCGATATTTTCCATTCTTGTATTTTGCGGTTATGTGTTGGAGACGTTGCTCGCTGTTAGCGTTTGCACTGAGACTTTCACTTTGGGGAATATTCGCTCCCCAGAACTGATTAGCTTTGCCGTTACCCAGCAGCAGAAAAACCTGGCAATGAAAAATAAGATTATCAGACATCATCCAGAAAGAGAACGGCAAAACTCTAACTGCAAAGCATCAATATTACTCTCAGATGTAACTGAGGCAGAATATACAGTAGACTGGATGCATCACATTCATTGTACCCTGATGAGGTCATCAGTCCACACTCGTTCATCCAACTTCAGACTGCGAACCTTTGACATGTTCTGGCCCAGGCTTCTGTGTACCCCTGTTATCACACAAATGTGGACACATTTATGAGCAGACATATACAGTACATAGCTGCTGCTGTCATTTGTTAATATGTGTGTGTACCTGCACATTTTTCACACAGCAGAACACACAGGTTGATTGACGCCCACTCTGGCATCGAAGAGCTGCAGTCCGCACACAAACGGTTTGATGGCACACGCCAAATGCTCTCACACACTCCATCACATGACAGAGAGCGACTCACACACTCATTAAGTAACTCGCACCATTTCTGCTTCTCACTCACTGACTTCACCACAAAACTACAAATGGAGAGAGAGAAGCATACAAATGAAGTTAAAGCAATTTTAATTGATGTAGGGAGTTTACAGTTTCATCAATGAGTTTATGGTCTATTTGGCTTAATCAAGTAAAAAACACTGATTAATGTCATGTCCATACAAAATGCCATCTTCTTATTTAAAGCACATTGTTTGCGACATCCATTCTTCAGTAAATTTGTTTGAAGAAACTTCGGGGAATAAAAATATGAAACTGTTCCTCTCAAAATAAAACCATGTTCTCTGAATGGTAAACACTGGAAAAACAATATTCCTAATCATTGTTCCATTAAAAATTCTTAAAACCAGTTTTGAATAAATCTCACTAAAACAATTGTGGTTGGAGGTTCACCCTAGGTTCAAATCATGCTCCGTGGCGCTGGGCCTGATACAAATATATCATTTTTTTAAACTGAAAATATAAAAATAAAAGCTAATTCAAAATATTAATAAATACTATAGTAGTATATAAATAATACAAAAATAACTGAACAAATTCTTTCCAGTTTTGTGTGCAAAAAGTGAAAAGTTGCAGCGTTTACCTGAATGCTCTGTATGGAGTGGTGAGCGTGAAAGAGCACTTGTTTTCTCCTTCTCTCACATTGGCCATTCGCATGTCTATGTCAGTGATGCCTACACCCTGAATATATTCCTATATACAAAACACAAACACAACTAATGTATCAAATAAACCCCCCAAAACATTTAGAAAGACAATTATTCACATTCAGACTCACACCTCGTGGCTTCTGAAGAGGAACAGTTTGTCCCTGCTGATAAGCATGTAGACTTTGGTGCGTGGTGACAACATCTCCAGGTTGCCCTCGAAACAAATATTCACACTACCGTTCTTAAAGAACAGATTCCGGGGCCCCAGACTATTTTTGCGATCACTCAGAATCTTTTCAAAGCAACCCACCCAGTCATTTCTTTCCTCTGTGAAAATACACATACAATATAAATGTATGAAAATCATTCACAGTCTGAATATAAAAACAAAGATGTGTCAGAGACATTCTGCAAGGTGGTCAGAAGAAAACATTGACAAATACACACGAGTGCTTTCTGCTCGAAACAGGAAAGTCCGGCTCTGACTGTGGACCTCAAATCGTAAATCTCCGACACTGACCACCTTATCAACAGATTCCAGAGACACCATCTTTTTAGAGTACACCTCCTGTCACACAACGAGAAAGAGAAATTCTTTAACACCCTGTATTACACTTGAGTCAAATTTATTGAGATTCAATTCAAATGTTGTTTCACAGATTGAAATGTTCCCCTTATTTTTTACTATTAATTTGCCTTTGGCGCCATCTATTGCTCACTAAATATAATATTGTACATTATAATGTGGTGGTGCCTAAATTCAGCTGTAGTATTTTAAATTATATTTTAGTTTATAGTGTGTTTTTGTTTTTTATTTAGTTAAACAAAACATTATCAGATAATCAGTATCGGTCAAAATAGAGAAATAGGCCTTTTGTGTACATAGAAAAAGTCTTCGATCTTTGAGTTCAGCTCATGAAAAATGGGGGCAAAAACAAAAGTGTCGCGTTTATAAATTCAGTGTATAAATTAACTAAATTAATTAACAAAAATGAACCATCACTCAACTTAAGATGGACTATGACGCTATTTTCTTCTAGATCTACAGCAGAAACAAACTGTGTTGCATTATTTTCCTGTTATCACTAAAGCTGCTTCGAAACAATCTGTATTGTAAAAATCGCTATATAAATAAAGGTGACTTGACTAAGGTTTCTAAAAACATCAGGCAATTGATAAACTTTCTAAATTCCAGAAAATTTAAGTCTAGATTTAATCATTGTGACCGAAACCAGGCAGAAATACATTCCACCTTTCCTCTCGGTTTTAGTGTGTGTCATCATTTAGTAATTATCATCATCCCCTCTCTCCATTCCGATAATTTTCTAGCTTGTTTGTACAATAAATACTTAACTTCCTTAAATAAAACAAGACTGGACTTTTTATAGTTATTCTGGAAGGAAAGGAATGTGTCTGGAGAACGAGGAAATCTATATATTTATTCTGATTGGAAGGATCTTATTGTTATTCAAGATTTTAATTACCAGGAGGATATTGCAAAATATTTACTCACGAGATTACAGAATGGATGTATGTATGGATAGAGAAGAAAAAAAACTGACTGATTGATTTATTCATATATTTTACCTTGATGTATTGAAAATATCTCAAATATTCTGAATCCAGCTGCACCCATCGACGCTGGTAAATCTTGCCACTGAAATTACAAACACAACTATTATAAAACATACATTAATATAATGATTATAAATATAAATAAAACCACAAATTTCAGAAAAGAGGCTTTGTTATAAACTCGTAAAAGACACTTAAGTCACAATTCTTTCTTACCCTTTTGGGGGAGTTTTCTCCAGCCAGCCAGCTTTAATAATCTGACGGAAATCCTCTGAGAAATCAGGAAACTCTGTACATCGGATATCAATACTGTCCTCACTAAGATAAACAAACGCTGTATTACAGTTTTTCTCGATTGCTTAAACACATTTCTTGAAACTATGCCTCGTATTCTCAAAACAGTAAACACAAATCCATAACGTCTCACCCAATTCCCCAAACATCCTATTTTCAGGTCAAAATGAAGCTCTACACTCAAAACCATTCACTCTTGCTGAAAAACCAAACTTTGCCCTCAGACAGGACACACAAGCCCTCAAAAATACACACACTACAACATAGTCTTACACACTGGTGCTATAAATTCAAAACAACATTTCCAAAACTGGTAAGTCATGTTGCTTGTGCATGTTGCCCCCCCCCCCCCCCAGCACCCCAAGGCCCCCTATTTTATTTTACTCTCTCCTACTCTTACGTAAGATGTGTGTGAGCATCATATGACAGTAAAAGAGCACACACAAACCTTATTCAAATATGGAATTGTATTGGAATGGTAAAGAGTGTTGGTATGTGCCTCCACTCAAGGATACAATATGATGAACAAGTCTAAGAATGTTCCACATATGGTTGAAATACCATCATTGGCCTAGAAAGATAACATTCTGGGAGTCAAGACTAAAGGAGAAAGGATGCCCTCCCTTCACTGTCACACACACTCTGTGTGACTGTACGACTGCTGGCCTTTTCTTGCAAGAACATAAACCTCATCAAAGACAACTGGAAATGTTTGTCTCTTATTCAGTGATAGAAATGTGTTTGCCACGACACCTCCCTGAAGGTTCTGATGATGGAGGCGACGGTGAAGCGACTCAGATTTGTCTGTACTCGTTGCCCAGCCTCCCTCATAGTCATACCATGGACAAGGACATGGCCAACTAAATTGGCTTGAATTTCATCCGAGACTGCTTGTCTTCTTGCCCTTCCTCCTCCTTCTCCTCCTCCTCCTCCTCCGCCTCTTCCTCCTCCTCCTCCTCCTCCTCCGCCTCTTCCTCCTCTTCCTCCTTCTCCTCCTCCTCCTCCTCTCCCTCCTCCTCCTCCGCCTCTTCCTCCTCTTCCTCCTCTTCCTCCTTCTCCTCCTCCTCCTCCTCCTCTCCCTCCTCTCCTTCCTCCTCTTCCTCCTCCTCTTCCTCCTCCTCCTCCTCCTCCTCCTCTTCCTCTCCCTCCTCGACCTATTGCTTAATTTCTCTGTGGATCCATTGTTCCAAAACTCAGTAAACCAATTTTTATCTTTTATAAAAGATTGTATAACCTTTTATCTATCTATTGAAGGATCTGACTGATGTGTGTTCAATTTTGACTCTTAGTGTTTTCACCTGGGTAATTGTGTGCTAACTGAGCTGAAGCTGAGCTGACTTGAGTGAACAATATTGAATGCTAGTGCTTTCTAAATGACCATGTGGTGTAGGCAATGAGAAATGAAGGGATTTGTGTGTAGAGTTTTGCTGTAACAGTTCAACAAATCTGACTAATGTGTCAAAACAGTGGAATAGTGTTCATAGTTCAGTGAAATGGGTGTGCTTTTTGATAAATGGCATTATAGTTTTGAAATTTTAGTTCAAAAGCCTGGTTATAGTGTTTAAACAATCGAGAAAAACTGTAATACAACAGACTAATTCTCATTTCTCTTCCACTGCAGGCACAAGTAGACCCACAAAACAAAATAAAATTATCCACACAACAGAATAAAAAAAATTAAAAAAAAATGTTTGCACTTTATGCACACACCGCTCTCTTTGAGTGACTGTCTCTTTTTTGTCCTCTTCAACTTTCAGGTTGATGAAACACTTCTGCATGTCTCGCAATAGATCCTCCTGTTGGAAGACAAACAACCGTTGATGAAAATGATAAATAAAACACCATTGTTTAAAATTTTGGGGTCAGTAAGAATAGGAAAATTCTATAATAGGAAAATATTTTTATCAAAAGTGACATGAAAGATTTTAATAATTTTACAAATAAATTCTTTTTAAAATGCTGTTCTTTTGATGTTCTATTATTGACGTTCATTTTTCTATCATGTGAAACATGTATCACGGTTTCCACAAAAATATTAAGCAGCACAACTGTTTTCAACATTGATAATAAAAAACAAACACAAAATGTTTCTTGAACACAAAATCAGCAATATTACAATGATTTCTGAAGGATCATGTGACACTGAAGACTGCAGGAATGATGCTGAAAATTCAGCTTTGCCAGGAATAAATTACATTGACAGCCTTGATGAGCATAAGACACTTTTTTTTAACATTAAAAAAGATCTTACCAGCACCAAACTTTTGAACTGTAATATATATTTAGCAAGAACTTTGTTGTAGAAAATAATATTTATTAGACAAAAACTAAAGATGTACTATGATGAACTTCTCTAAGATACAGGCCCAATAGAATGGCTATTTAACCAACTGTCACATAGACAGAACAATATACACACTGTCATAGACACAAAATTTACCTTTGAAGCCATGTTCTGGGATTGTGGTGTGTGTACCTTTGAAGGATGCAGAACACATTAATCAATTAATTATCAAAACAAGTCCATAAACCAACAAAAAAAAACTATGAAGAACATATGAATAACATGTGGCTTCTTTAACATATTGGAAATATCTATAAAATACAGGACAATCAGGTTTTTCCTGGCACAGTTTCAAAACATCTTGAGTCTTGACATAATGAAAAATAAAACTAAATAAAATGAAGGGTCTCTAAAAAATAAGATGTCTGGTTGTCCTCATTATATGATTCAGGATAATCATTTTTATCATTAGTTTTGAGTTGTAATAAGGAATATTTCCAGCCCAATTTACATAAATGACTCTGAAAAAACAACAATCTGGACAACGCTTAGCGCATAGGCCTACTGTATGACCTATAACCCTGATACTATCAACCCTGATGTAAGGCTATGACATTAATTACAGAAATAGAAAAACATCTCTTCCGCCTCACCCAAATTTACTGTAACACACACAATGAAGCAACCTAACCTGATGCACAGCATTTCTAAAAGTTCCCCAGCTCAGACATAAAGAAACATACAACCTTTGAAAGACATCAGAAGTAACAATAGTCCTTTTAGTGCACACAATAATGCTCTTCTTCACTGTGGTTAAGTATGGGAAGTAAGCTCAGATTGGTGTTCTTCATGAAACCAAGATAATAGCTAATACTTTTTTCCCGCTTCGACCATTTCCGCTTGTGTGCAAAAACACACACAATAAAAAGCACACGCACACAAATACACAAAAACCTGAGGTCATAACAAAAACATTCTACCTACATTTAACTGTTTACAAAAATGCACACGTGCAGAAATATACACTCAAACTTTAATGTGAATATTAGAGGAATAAAGATTAGTTTTAGTTTGATATCAGATATTGGTAAAATGTCTCAACCAGAGGAGTAAAAGCACTGAATGGTTCACTTAAGAGCTAGTGTTTAAGAAACATTTTATGTAAAAAAAAAACACACCTATCCAATCTCAAAACAACACATTCATATTAAAAGATCTAGGATTATGATATGTAATCATCCTCACTACTATCATTATTTATAGTGATATCTGATAAAATTGTGCTACATTTTATAATGTTAGTAACAGATAAAAGGGTAACACTTTACAATAAGGTTAATTTATTAAACATTAGTTAATGTATTAACTAACATGAACTAACCATGAGCAATACATTTGTTACTGTTTTTGTTAATCTTTGTTAACGTTAGTTAATACAAATCCAGCTGTTCATTGTTTGTTCATGTTAGTTCACAGTGCATTAACTAATGTTAACAAGATTTTAATAAAGTATTAGTAAATGTTGAAATTAACATTAGCAAAGATTAACAAATGCTGAAGAAGTATTGCTCATTCTTAGTTAATGTTAACTAATGTAGTTAACTAATGAACCTTATTGTAAAGTGTTACCGATAAAAAAAGAGAATAAGTTACCTGTGTGCAGTCAAATCTGTGCCAAGCCCTACTGCATTACAAGGCATTTATAAACGTACACGCGCGCGCTCACAGCTCTATTTGGAAAATGAGGAAGTGTATGACTCAGTGACAGAAACAGACAGAACCATACCAGCAATTCCTTAGATAACTTTATAAAAACTATTATTTTCGCTTCAAAAGCACTGCTTTCAATCCTGTGAGTTCAGCTAATCTCAACTTTTATTGGCCAAACTTATTGCTTTTTGATACTAGAGGAAGCTTATTTGTTGAATTTCTAAAATTGACATTTTTTTAAATCTTTGAAACACACGTTTAGGGCACAATGTTGGATAAGCTAATTATGAAGACAGAGGATAGATCCAGGCTGTTTTCGGTCTCATGCTCCCTACTGACTGCCACTCGTCTCAAGCAACTGCTGAGAAATTATTATGTAGATTTACTATTTGTTGACGTTAACGATCAGTAGTCTGTAGCATACTTACTTACTGCCCTCTAATGGCTGCAGCAGGGGTTGTTATAAGAGTTCTGATTGAGGTAGGTTATGATCCTATATGATCAGTATCAGTTGCGGTCACTACGAAGTTCAAATTGTACCACAATTCTAGTGTTAACTATTTACGATGGAACTGGAAGATGTGTTTTTGTAAGTAATAAATGTAGGCTAACTAGATTTTTATATTTGCATTTAAAAAAACGGTATTCGGAGTTGTTTTAGGGCGTTTTTAGACAAAGGAGGACAGCTAGACTTGTAAGCACGAACGCTACAATTTGAAAGTCTAGTCTAGTCAGTGTCACAGTTGCCACTGGGTCCGTGTACGTTTTGATAGTTTGTTTTCCAATTTGAAACGAAATAAGCAGAAACGAGAAAACGGGCCGGCCTTTATTCGTTTTCTCGTTTTTTCAAAAAAACGAAAAAACGAGATTTCGGCTTGATTTTTCGTTTTTTAGTTCACAGGCAAAAAACGAATAAATTACTTCAAAATTCGTTTTGCACATGTGGGCGGTCATGAGACGCCCCTTTCAGCCGATTGGTCAAGCAAATCTGAGCATGTGACGTCATCAGTAATTCCCCAAGTCTTTTCAACAAAATAATAGTCCTATGGCTCTGCGTACCGCTTCTTAAACTGTACAGGGCTGTGCAACTTAACGCGTTTCACAGGAATATTTATTTCAGAAATATTAAATATTAATCTGCACCCAGCCGGTTTTATTTAGCTGTGCAGAGTTAAATCTGTGTAGTGCTGCACTAGACCGCGCAGAGCGGGTGAAGCACAGACCAATGTTCTGTCAAGTGTAAATACCTTTTTTACAGTCTATGGTAAATACGCAGCAGTCATAATAACTCTTCTTTCTGACAATACGCTCAGTTTTGGACAAGGGGTGGTCATTGCAAATACTGTAATGCAAAACTGCTGATGGTGGTGGTGGGTACCGATGATAGTAAATTAAAATGTAACTAATCATAGCCGCGAGAGTGAGACAGCGAGATGATTGACAGGACGATAGCGGAGGAAAAAACTCAAGATAGCCTAACATGTGTTAGTAAAAAAATATTTATTTCTTTAATATATAAGTGAGTTTGTATCTGAAAACAACAACAACAAAGAAACAATCAAATAACAGCGTGAACCACAAACTGAGCGTTCATTTTAAAGGGACATTTCCAAATAGGCCTATCTCTTATTTATTTTGTTATAATGTTGTTTGTTGTGTATTGATGTGACGTCATCGACGTCATCACGTACAAAGGAGAGATAAAGGACGGATGGAAGTTATATCTGGTGTCTGTGTGGTTCGATCCGAAATAACTAGAAAGTATATAACATTGGCGACGAGGATGCTACAACAAGGACTCACTCGTTAGTTGAATCTGAAAGTGAGTTAGAGGTGCGTCACGCCGACTAGTTTATCTCAGTTAACTGAAGTCTGATACAGCACGCGTTAAAGATGGACGGTACTGTTCCTAAGTTCGACTGCTACAGTGATCCAGCCACCTTGGGTCCGCGATGGACAAGATGGTTAAATGCATTCGAACTTTTTGCCGATGGAAAGGGTTTGATCCTGACTGACGATGCACCTGACGCTACAAAGCAAAGAAGGCGAGCCTTGCTCTTACATCACGCTGGGACAGATGTCCAGGATATTTTCTCCACACTCGCTGACACAGGAGGGCCAACTGGTTACGTGCAGGCAGTAACAGCACTGAACGCATACTTTGTGCCTCAGGTAAACACGGCGTTTGCAAGACAGTCGTTTTATCAGCTAAAGCAGAAAACGGGACAGACCGTGCAACAGTTTACCACATGTTTAAGGCAAGCGGCAAAAGATTGTGATTTTGGAGCTGATAAAGACAATCAAATTAGGGATGCTGTTCTGAGTCGGTGCAGCTCTGAATACGTGCGTAGGAAACTGCTGGAGGAAGGAACGGCTTTGACACTTGCTCGCACTCTAGAAATCGCAGCGCAGTGCGAACGTGTTGAACTGCAGATGGCGGCGTTGCACATTTCTCCAGACACTGAAGAGAAAGAGACGGTGAGTCTTGTGTCCAGAAAAGGAGTGAGAGATCAGAAAAAACGAATGCAATATAGTAAAAGTAGTGCTGATTCAAACAAATCCTGCTACAGATGCGGACAGACAGGTCATTTTGCAAAAGATTATAAATGTCCCGCACGTGGAAAATCATGCAGAAAGTGCAATGGAAGAGATCATTTTGCAAAAATGTGTAAAACAAAGGAAAGTGTAAGACAGACAGTGAAAAGAGTTGAATCAGATGTGAAAAATCAAGACTTTGCATTTGTTGTAAGAGAAGAAAGCAACATGGACAGAATAACATTTTCAGTTGGAGGTGTCAGACTACCCATGTTAGTTGACTCAGGAGCAACAAGCAACATAGTGGATGAAGGAACGTGGGAAATGCTGAAAGAAAAAAAAGATCAAGTGCAGCTCTGCCAAATCGGACAAAAAACTGTATGCATACTCAGCAAGTGAACCCTTACCAGTGAAAGGAATTTTCTGGTGTGAGGTCGGAATCGGAAAACGCGGCACAACAGCTGAGTTTACAGTTATTTGCGGGAGAGGGGAGCCACTGCTCGGAAAAGACACAGCAGTTAAATTAGGAGTGCTGAAGATCGGAGCTAATGTTGCTGTGGTGAGTGATGTGAACTCCATGATACGACAGAAGTACCCCAAATTGTTCTGTGGAGTAGGCAAACTAAACACAAAACAAATTAGTCTGCACATAGACAGCACAGTGACACCAGTTGCACAGCCCCTTAGGCGTGTCCCATTCCACCTCAGAGAGGCTGTTGAGAAAAAAATAAATGAGCTGCTCCACATGGACATTATCGAAAAAGTCAATGGAGCAACCCCTTGGGTAAACCCAGTTGTCATTGTACCCAAAGCGAATGGGGAAATAAGGATGTGTTTGGACATGAGACAAGCAAACACTGCAATCATTCGTGGGCGGTTCCCGATCCCCACAGTGGATGAACTGTTGCAAGGTATGAATGGGTCGGTCGTTTTCAGCAAACTAGACCTGAAATGGGGGTACCATCAGCTGGAATTGACCCCAGAATCAAGAGACATCACCACGTTCGCCGTTCATAATGGCATATATAGGTTCAAAAGACTGGTGTTTGGAGTGTCATCAGCAAGTGAGCAGTACCAGCACGAAATAGCCACTGTTCTAGCTGGCATCGAAGGAGTAGAGAACATATCAGACGACATCATCATCCATGCACCTGACAAAGAGGCTCATGAGAAAAGAATGCATGCAGTACTAAAGAGACTGGAAAGCTGCGGCTTGACTCTGAATGTAGAGAAGTGCCAGTTTAACATGGACAAATTGGTGTTTATGGGCATGCTGTTGTCAGTGAAAGGCATAGGCCCGACGGCAGAGAGGGTGAGAGCAGTTGTGGAGGCAAGAGAGCCTGAAAACGTCTCAGAGGTGAGAAGCTTTCTCGGTTTAGCTGGCTATAGTAGCCGCTTCATACCTCAGTTTGCGAGCATCTCAGAACCTCTGCGCAGACTAACAAAAAAAGACACCAAATTTCATTTTGGAACTGATCAGAAGAAAGCTTTCAAAACTCTCAAAGATAAATTGGCCGAGGCCACAACACTGGCTTACTTTGACAAGGACGCACCAACTAAAGTTATTGCTGATGCTGGACCAAAGGGTGTTGGAGCAGTACTAGTTCAGGACCAAAGTGAAGGAATGGTTCCTGTCTGCTATGTGAGCAGGAGCTTGACAGAGTGCGAACAAAGGTATTCGCAAACAGAGCGCGAAGCACTTGCTCTGGTCTGGGCGTGTGAACGATTGCACCCTTACGTTTATGGTCGGAAGTTTGATCTCGTCACAGACCACAAAGCATTGGAAGCAATTTATAGCCCTCGCTCAAAACCATGCGCACGAATCGAAAGGTGGGTCTTGAGATTACAGCCTTATGATTTCCGAGTGATTCACATACCTGGAACACACAACATCGCAGATCCTCTGTCACGTCTGCTGGGCCCATCAGCCAAAGGTGAGATGCACACACATAAAGCAGAGGAATATGTGCGGTTTATAGCAGTTTGCGCCACACCCAGCGCCCTGACCACCAAGGAAGTCGAGCAGATCTCAGCAAATGATGTGGAATTACAGAGACTGAGGACTGCTATTCAAACAGGTTGTTTTGATGACTGTCCTGCATACAGACATATTGCAGGTGAGCTATGTGTCATTGGCCAAATAATACTCAGAGGAACAAGAATTGTCTTGCCACAGTCGCTGCGAGGAAGAGCATTACAGTTGGCACATGAGGGTCATCTTGGTGTGGTAGGAACAAAACAACACCTGAGAACAAAGGTTTGGTGGCCCGGAATGGACAGGGCCGCAGAAAGACTTGTGAGGACATGTCATGGTTGTCAGTTGGTAGCGAAACCAGATGTTCCTGAACCACTGTCGCCCACAGTGATGCCTGAAGGGCCATGGCAAAACTTAGCCACAGATTTACTTGGTCCTTTACCGGATGGACATTCGATTCTGGTTGTTGTCGACTATTACAGCAGGTACTATGAATATGCAATCCTCAAGTCAACAACAGCAGAAAAAGTGATTGATCGTTTGGAAGACATTTTCAGTCGGCACGGACTTCCCTTAACAATCAGGTCAGATTGTGGCCCACAATTCAAATCCAATCAGTTTCAGGCTTTTTGTCAGGAGAACGGAATACACCATTCAGAACAACTCCAAAGTGGGCACAAGCAAATGGAGAAGTGGAAAGACAAAACGCATCACTGATGAAACGAGTACGGATTGCCCATGCTGAGGGCCAGGATTGGAAAAGAGAGCTACGCAAATATGTGACTATCTACAGGTCCATACAACACGCCACAACGGGCAAAAGCCCAGCGGAACTTCTTTTTCAGAGGAAGATCAGAGGGAAGTTACCAGACATCACAACTCCACATAGTGACCTTGAAGCTCGAGACAAAGACGCGGAGCAGAAAGGAAAAGCCAAGATATACACAGACCACAGACGAGGTGCTAAGACATCAGGCATAGCGGTTGGAGATCAAGTGCTTGTGAAACAGGATAAAACAGACAAATTCACAACAACATTTCACAGCACTCCTCACAAGGTTGTACGCAGAGAAGGTAACAGCGTTGTTGTTCAGTCACCCACTGGAGCAAAGTATGCACGGAATACAACATTTGTCAAGAAGTTTCTGTCTGCGGAAACACCAACATTGGATGGTGAAGTGATATGTGCTCAGGAGCCAAGTAATGATAAGGAGCAAAAGGGAAGTGCGGAGGAAGGCAAAGGGAACTGTGAAACATTTCAGAGAGAGGAACAGATTCCTAAACCTTGCAGACCCCAGAGACAAATCAAATTGCCTGAAAGGTTTAGAGACTATGTTGTTGAGTGATAGATAAAGGTTAGGCTATGTAAGAAGGAAAACAAGTAAAAATCAGATTAAGAGTTATGTTGTGGTGCGATGCATCTGTTCAGAAAGCATTGCTGATGTTCTATCAAGATGTACAGTGTTACATGTACTTTGAATGTTCTGAATGGTCTTAATCTGTAAGAAAATGTGAATGTTTAATTTGGGTAAGTTCATATTCAAGTAGAGGGGGGATGTTGTGTATTGATGTGACGTCATCGACGTCATCACGTACAAAGGAGAGATAAAGGACGGATGGAAGTTATATCTGGTGTCTGTGTGGTTCGATCCGAAATAACTAGAAAGTATATAACATTGTTGTTTTATGAATTCCGCCTTAATCGTTTTGTTAATAAAAGTTTAATAGGCCCACAACGCTGGAGTTTTTTATAGTAGCTTACTATTTTATTGTAGGCTATAGGCCCTATATACCGAGGCACTTCATAAACCCAATTAGAAAGCTAAACAGTTCTAAGCATGAACTCTAGCAAGATCAATTAAGATTTTCATTTGGGTTTATGAAGTGCCTCGGTAAATATACATATGCTACACATTACTTTATTTATGGGTATAGAGTTCATGGTAGCCTACTAATTGCATAAGCTCCTGTGGTTTTGATGCAATACATTTTATTGACGCATGCATGTTTCTCATTTTTATTTTTTGATTATACAGCCATGATTATGATGGGCCGACAGTATGCCACCAAATTTAAAGAAACTGAGACCAATGCAACTGAGTTAATGTATCGTATTTTCATGATATAATTATGTAATTGGCTTATGGCTGACTTGGCGCCACCTACTGGCGGTCTTTCATATTGAAAGTATTGTTACATGTAACTTCATCTTTTTCACTGTGGCATTTAATAGTCTCTTAGTATGCAATTGAAATTGATATGTAAATGCACTACTGTGCCACATTTGAGCTGCATAAAGCTGTGTAAATACATCTAAATTCCATGTCAGATACAGATTTCACCAGACTGCAATTTGTGTTGATTAAATATTAAGAAAGTGATGACATTTACAGGTTTAAAAAAAAAACAATTCTACATTTGCTTACAACATTTTTCTTACAAAAACCCAATTTCGCTGGACAATGTCTATTACAGTATACAACATAGACATAAGGGTGCTAATAGAGTGATACAACACTCTTTAAGAAACGTTTATTTTCATCACACTTTAAAGTGATTAAGAGGAAAATAAATTAAAAAGTTTAAACTCTGTATGCAACACAGCATACTGTACATTAGTTGGTACTGCGGGAAGTAGGGGTGCTGAGGGTGACCCCTGCCGTAGAGTCCAGGGAAAACATATGCTGCCAATAAAGCACATAAAAGCTGTCACAAAGAATCGGCAAAAGAAATGATTATGAATATGTCAAATACAGCAAGAAGACATTTTAATTGTGTATTAATAAGCAAGTGTTTTTTTGTGTCAGTGTCGGCTGCAAAGATGAAGTTGACGATGCTGACTCGCAATCTTCGCAGTAGTGAGTGCGCCAGAGAGAAATGCACATTTCATAAGCAGAGAGTCTGTTTTCTTTCGTTTTGAATTGTCCTGTTTAAAAGTAGACATTTCAATATAGATATATTTCTCAGGTCTGTGAGGCAAGTACGCTACCTTATACGCTGAGTTTCGGTTAATTTATGAGACGAGCTGCAGTTCACGCGCCGGCGCCTCCTGGTCGTGATTATCTATTGTCTGCTATATTTACTTCTTATTTATTAAATCCAGGTAATTGGTTGATGAAACATTGATTAAAATTAAGATACAATTAATACAAAACGAAATTCACTTTAAAGAAAGGCTTTGTGCTTTCTGTTTGAGGTCTGTTTGTGAACGTTTTAAAGTCGCTTTCAGAGCGGTCGCGTCCGTAACGGAGAACTGTCACGTCCGTAACATTGTTTTTTCCTCATAAATGCGAACACGAAAAATGAAATAAAATGAGTATTTTATGTTCTGTGGAGAGCCAACCCTTCTTCATCCGGTGGGTAGTATTGCGCATTGTAAATCACAGAATTACTAAAACATATTTTGCCACCAAAAAGTAAAAAAAAAATTGTGTCACGTCCCACATGTGTATTTCACTCATATTAAATATAAAACGCATGTGTATTTCCCTCATATTAAATATAAAACACATGTGTATTTCCCTCATATTAAATATAAAACACATGTACTGATATTTTTCTAATGACTCCTTTATTAAGGAGTAATAAAGTAATAAACATTTTTTTGTTTTGTTTTATTTGTAGGCTACTACAAAGAGTGTATATATTTGTTATTTATTTTTGGTGCTTAACAAGCATAATTTAATTTTGCCCAGTTGTGGTCTGTTGAGGGGCAATAGATATCAAATGTCTCAAAACATCTATTGTGTTATTTGTATGATCCACTATATAAACATAATATCTACATGGCATTTGATTGGAGGCTAGTCTCACTTTGTCCCACGGCAACATTAAAATAGTTTAGATTTGTGTACATTGTTTCTGTTAATAATGTATTGAATTAAGTGTCCATTTCATTATAATATTCAGGTTTATCGTTAATAATTGAACATGCACATGTATTTTAAGTTCCGTTAAAGAGGGGTGGAGGTGGGGTTACATTTGAGCATTTAAAAATGTACTTGAAAGTAAGGCAATAGTTACTTTCTGAATTAACTTGTTAGTTTTATAATTTGTAACTGAGTAACTAATTTAGTTACTTTTTGGAAGTAGTGACTAGTAACTGTAAGTAATTACTTTTTTAAAGTAACTTGCCCAACACTGATCATAACAAATAAATATAAGATATTTGGAAATGTCCCTTTAAAATGAACGCACAGCTTGTGGTCCACACTGTTATTTGATTGTTTCTTTGTTGTTGTTGTTGTTTTCAAATACAAACTCACTTATATTAAACAAATAAGTATTTTTTTACTAACACATGTTAGGCTATCTTGAGTTTTTTCCTCCGCTATCGTCCTGTCAATCATCTCGCTGTCTCACTCTCGCGGCTATGATTAGTTACATTTTAATTTACTATCATCGGTACCCACCACCACCATCAGCAGTTTTGCATTACAGTATTTGCAATGACCACCCCTTGTCCAAAACTGAGCGTATTGTCTAAAAGAAGAGTTATTATGACTGCTGCGTATTTACCATAGACTGTAAAAAAGGTATTTACACTTGACAGAACATTGGTCTGTGCTTCACCCGCTCTGCGCGGTCTAGTGCAGCACTACACAGATTTAACTCTGCACAGCTAAATAAAACCGGCTGGGTGCAGATTAATATTTAATATTTCTGAAATAAATATTCCTGTGAAACGCGTTAAGTTGCACAGCCCTGTACAGTTTAAGAAGCGGTACGCAGAGCCATAGGACTATTATTTTGTTGAAAAGACTTGGGGAATTACTGATGACGTCACATGCTCAGATTTGCTTGACCAATCGGCTGAAAGGGGCGTCTCATGACCGCCCACATGTGCAAAACGAATTTTGAAGTAATTTATTCGTTTTTTGCCTGTGAACTAAAAAACGAAAAATCAAGCCGAAATCTCGTTTTTTCGTTTTTTTTTGAAAAACGAGAAAACGAATAAAGGCCCCTTTTCTCGTTTCTGCTTATTTCGTTTCAAATTGGAAAACAAACTATCAAAACGTACACGGACCCCACTGCTTCAAATGAGTAAACACTCTGCGCATGCGCGGTAGTGAAGCAAGCGATTGGGGGAGAGTTGCGCGCGAACATCAAAACATTTGTTCAAACTCAAAGCCGCTTCCGCAATCGAGGTGGTGAGACACATGCCGTTTTTCAATCAACATCCGTAAAAAAATAAGTGCAAATATGCAAAGCAATAAAGTTGAAGAACTCACGAACAAGTTAGAAGGGTGAGTCATCAAATAATACCATGTAGATCTTGCAGTTTTTATCAATACATTAGAACTGATTACGACGTAAAATTGTTGTTGCATGTAAGTAAGTTAGCATGTAGAACATGCTTTGATTGTGTGTTTTCTCTTATTGCAGATATCTGTCTTTGGACACGGAAAAGATGGACACATTCAACAGGTACTCAAACACCATGCTTATGCAATTGTCCATCACTGCTGTTAATATAAAGTTCTAATCTCGGGTGACAGTGTCACTGGTCAGCCAGAATATGTATTTTGCTACCCATATTGATTTGATGTCATGTGAAATTATACCTTACAACCACAGAATTTGTTACAGTTTATATTTTTTTTGTTTTGTTTTATCATACTAAAGATGTGATGTAGATATTTATTTAGTATACCCTCCCACACAAAATGAATACCTATAGCCTAGGAGACCCGGCTAGCTGTCACCTTTTTAGTGAATACACCTTAGCACAGGTTTGCTCAAATTTGTGGCTACAGAAAAGTAATTATACATTTTATCCTAAATTGTATTGAAAAAAAGATACAGGTCATTGAATATGTTGACTTTTTGTTACTTGGGGTAAGTTGTCAATAGAATCTGTTATAGACTTTTTAGCATAGCAATTGTAAAACGAAGCTAAATGTATAAGGTAACATACAAACATATTGTTTTGGCCAATACATTTCGTATATAATGAGTAGTGTAAATTTAATTTAAAACTAATCTGACTACCTGATATAAAACCTTTTTTTTTTCCAACTGTTAACTGTCAACTTCACATGTACAGTCACCTCTGGCTCTGACTGACTAGGGTATTGATTAACAAATTTGTAATTAACATTTAAAAAGAAAATTTCAGCTTGCAGAATGACTTTGCGTTTGACAAAAAGCACATTTTAGTGTGCTTGATATTAGTATTTGAGTGTATTTAGTGTTCCTGTGTAACAGTTCTTGTATTATTTTTGCAGGTACCGGCAGGAGGGGAAGGAAGCTGCCATGCGTGGTGAGCTGCCTCGTGCCCTGGAGCTGTTTCAGCTGGCTTACCAGCTGCAGCCGAGTGACAAGCTTAAGAAACGGGTCCAGGCCATACAGGATCTTATTCAGAGAGATGAAGAGGAAGATGAAGAGGATGAAGAATTTGTGGACGTGAATGACAGTGGATTGAAACTTTATAAAGGGCTATACGACAAATTGTATGACCATCAGAAAGAGGGTGTGGCGTTCCTGTACAGTCTCCACCGAGATGGAAGGAAAGGGGGAATCTTGGCCGACGACATGGGCCTCGGAAAGACCATTCAGGTAATTTCATTTTTGTCAGGGATGTATGATGCAGAGCTGGCCAATCATACCCTGTTAGTCATGCCAACCTCGCTCATAAAGAACTGGGTGCGTGAGTTTGCCAAGTGGACCCCCGGAATGAGGGTGAAAGAGTTTCACGGCTCAAGCAAAGCTGAGCGGAACAGGAATCTGGAGCGAATCCAACGCAAAGGAGGAGTTATCATTACCACCTACCAGATGCTCATCAACAACTATGAGCATCTTGCATCATATGACCAGCGTGAGTTCAAATGGGACTATGTCATCCTGGACGAGGCCCACAAAATCAAAACCTCATCCACTAAAACGGCTAAAAGTGCTCACGCCATACCTGCTAGACACCGTGTGCTACTTACGGGCACTCCTGTACAGAATAACCTACGAGAGATGTGGGCACTGTTTGACTTCGCTTGCCAGGGGTCGCTGCTGGGAACCTCTAAAACATTCAAAACCGAGTATGAGAATCCAATCACACGTGCAAGGGAGAAAGACGCCACGCCTGGGGAGAAAGCTCTTGGGTTGAAGATTTCTCAGAACTTGATGGACATCATCAAACCTTACTTTCACAGGCGGACCAAGGCAGATGTTCAACACAAAAAGCAAAAACGTAAAGAAGGCTATCGAGACGAGGAAGATCAAGAGAACAAATGTCCAAACGCCAGCGAAGGTGCCGAGATGCCATCGCTGACACGAAAAAACGACCTCATTGTGTGGACGTACCTCAGTTCGGTCCAGGAGGACATTTATAACCAGTTCATCTCGCTGGACCATATTAAGGAGTTGATGATGACTACCAGGTCGCCGCTGGCAGAGCTCACCGTTTTGAAGAAGCTCTGTGACCATCCCAGACTCCTCTCGAATCGAGCCGTGGCTCAACTAGGCCTGGAGCAAGGTTCCTCCTTTGACTCCACCCATCCAGACATTGAGAGCGAGTCGGCTGTGAGTCAGATCGACTACATTTCAGATGAAACTTTGGTTAGAGAGTCAGGAAAGCTGCAGTTTCTTGTGTCTCTAATGGAATGTCTCCGTGAAGAGGGGCATCGGACCCTAATCTTCTCACAGTCAAGGAAGATGTTAGACATCATGGAGCGTGTCCTGCGTAACAAAAACTTTCGCCTGCTGCGCTTGGATGGCACAGTGACACAACTGGCAGAAAGGGAGAAGCGTATCATGCTGTTCCAGACAGACAAACGCTACACAATCTTCCTCCTCACCACTCAGGTGGGTGGAGTCGGGATCACGTTAACAGCAGCAAACCGTGTTGTGATCTTTGACCCCAGCTGGAACCCTGCGACAGATGCTCAAGCTGTGGATCGCGCCTATCGAATTGGCCAAACTGAAAATGTCCTCATCTACCGACTCATCACCTGTGGCACTGTGGAGGAGAAGATCTACCGCAGACAGGTAAAATAAATTTTTTAACTTTAGGACCTTCACTTCACTATCTGGTTTTCAGGGTTAAAAAAAGATTCAGGGCTACATGATTTGGCCAAGAAATGCTTTTGCAATTATTTCATCATCATGTATTGTGATTGTAATTTGAAATGCGATATGATAAACATTATTTTTCATATTGCTGCTGCTTGGATATATCCAGGCAAAAAGAAGTAGAACCGTTTGAATCACACTAAAACGGATGCACAAAAACTACAAACTAACAAGCATTGCCTAATGTCTCCAAATAAATGTTTTCCCAATATTCACTTTTTAAAGTTGTTTGGTTTATTGTAGTTAAGTGTTGATGCAGCTTCCAGGCATAATTTTTCGTTAAGTACAACAATTCAGCTTTTGGCAAGCAATTGATTTTATGTCATGTAGTAATGAGAACTAAAAGCTAGTTTTCTGCTATTCTGATGTCAGTAAAACAGTACCTGTAACAGTTTTTTCCCTCCCTGTGTTTCTATATCTGCAGGTGTTTAAAGACTCTCTCATCCGGCAGACAACCGGAGATAAGAAGAACCCGTTCCGATACTTCAGCAAGCAGGAGCTACGTGAACTGTTTAAACTCGAAGACACACGTTCTTCCTCCACTCAGCAGCAGCTTCAGGCGATGCACGCACAAAACCGCCGCTCTGACACCAACCTGGACCAGCACATCGCTCGCCTTCACAGCATGGAGATGTTTGGCATCTCCGACCATGACCTCATGTTCTCTAAAGAGGCGGCAGCCGATGAAGACAATCCTGAGGATGCAGAGTCCCATCACTACATACAAACGCGTGTCCAGAAAGCACAAGAGCTCATGCAGGCAGAATCAGAACTTCACGGCCAGCTCATGGACAGCGTGGCCCAGAACACCGAACCGGCTTGGCTCAGGCAAACAGGGCAACCGAAATCTGCTGGTAGAGACCGGCCGGCTCCTCCTCGTATCAAAAACGAGCCAGTGACGGTGGATCTGACTCATTACAGTTTCGATGAGGCAGAATTGGAGGTAGATGAGCAGAACTCTCTGCCAGTTGAGGAAGTGGTGGAAGTTGTGGGTGAAGAAGTGGAATTTGTAGGTGAAGAAGTGGAATTTGTAGGTGAAGAAGTGGAATTTGTAGGTGAAGAAGTGCAAGTGGAAAAGGAGTCTCCTCGTTCTGGTGGAGAAAGAAATGTTCATGTTCTAAAGACTGAGGTTAGCCCTGATGCCGACAAGATAGCTCGCCATGTGGTCACGCTGGATGACAGTTCAGATGAGGCTGACAAGTTGTACGGTAATGCAGCATCTGAGCATCAATACTCACAGCACAGCTTCTCAAGTTCTTCTCACCAGTTTTCAAAGTTGGAAGAACTTTCTGTAGCATCTGATGCTCTTGATAATAGAGAGGATCAGGCAGACAAGCCACATTCAACGGTTCTCTCTTCACCCCCTTCCCGACATGAGGCCACAGCGGGAGAGTCTTTTAAAGCAGAGGTGGAAATGCTTCAGGGAAACTTCAACCTGCAGTTAGAGGACAGTGCAGAAATGTTCTCCGTTGAAGAAGAAGTTTGTGAAGTGGAGTCGTCGGTAGCAGAGGAAAGTCCTGAGTTTCAACTTCAGATGGACATCAGTGGAGAAAGACTGGAAGAAGCAAGTATCTATGACAGCAGACAGGATGGTAAACAAAACAAAAGTGAAATCAGTACCTATAACAACAGTGAGTTCTGCAACCATAACAATGCTGAAGTCAGTAACTGTAACGGTGAAGTCAGCAAGCATGAATCTCTTTTGAGGATCCGTTCTGCTCCGGACACATCTGCGGACGACTCCCTTTTGCATTCTGTTCGTAGAAAGAAAAGGCAGGTCATCTCTGACACTGAAGAAGAAGAAGAGGAGGATGAATCCGAGAAGCCATGTTTAACTAGCAGTCCATTAGCTGATGGCCTTAGCAGGTTGGGCTCTTCCACACCAAAATCCACTTTGACTGACAGAGCTCGACTCCGCCGCAGCTTGAACACTTCTGTGGCATCGAGAAGGTCCTTCGTTGTGTCCATGCTGGAGAATGAATCTGATGAAGAGTCAGCAGAGCCCAGTGAAGATAAATCCAAATCCTATGAGACAACTGAAGCAAATGAAAGTCATGCAGATGAATCAGTGGAGGAAGAGGAGGACCCCAGTAAAGGTGAAACCAAATCCTATGAGATATCTGAAGCAAATGAAAGTCATGCAGATGAGTCAGTGGAGGAAGAGGAGCCGCCCAGTGGAGATAAAACAGAATCCTATGAGAAATCTATAGCAAATGAAAGTCATGCAGATGAGTCAGGGGAGGAAGAGGAGGACCCCAGTAAAGGTGAAACTGAATCCTATCAGATATCTGAAGCCAGTGAAACGCATGAAGATGAGTCTGTGGTGGAAGAAGAGGAGCCCAGTGGAGAGACTTTAAACACAGAAGAGTCTAAAAGTGACGAGGAATTTGAGGAGGTGGAAGAGAGTGTGGAGTCAAGAGGAGACAATGAATGGCACAGCGCCCTTCTTGAATCCACTGCTGATGTTGAGCTAGACTCTAGTGAAATGATGGACCAGTGTGCCCCTAAAACATTCCCTATGGAAACGCACATTCTTCCTGTTAGCTCCACAAGCAGTGACGTGACTGCTGCTAAAGCCTCTGAGAACACGTATGAGTCGTTGGTACTGTCTGGGAAACAGAGTTTGGCAGAGGGGAGAAAGCAGGAGGCTCTGGATTTCTTTCTGAAGGCAATAGACATTAATACTGGTGACGCTGAAATCCAGCTCTTGATTATTCAGTTGTACAGGCAACTTAGCCAATAGGGAAATTAAAATGTACACAGCCGTATAAGAATTTATCATATCTTTATCTTTTTGACAAACTGTTTGACATGCTTTTTTTTTTTCTCTGCCTGTTGTTAAAAATAAATTGAAGACTGAATGTGACTGAAACATACAGCATACAGAACTGACCAGAGGAACTAGTTAAGAAAAATATGGTATGCATGCTAATCGTGTTCATGGACTTTTGATGTTTTTTGTTCACTTTAATTTGTATATTTCATTTCTTTGGTTTAAAAACTGTTCAATTTATCATATTCTGAAATATACATTGATTGTGGAAAGAAAAAAAATAAATTCTCAAAGGTTTCATAGCTTGTTTCCTGCATGATTTTGCTGCATTCCAGATATGAATCTACATTTTATATATAATATATTCTTGAGTTTTCTTAATTTTAAGGGTTTTTTTTCCCCATATTAACTTCATTTCAGATGAGAGCTTTAACTGTTTGTGCCTCCTAGTCTGAAGCTCTTATCTAAAAAGTCCTCTGTTTTAAAGGAACATTCTGGGTTAAATACAGTTTAATTGACAGCATTTGTGATATGCTGTTCGTAAAGTAGTTATTTTCTGTGGTAATTAACGATGTGTCACAGATTTAGCATGTACTTTACTTGATGTACATTAAAGAGAATATACAGTATGGAAACTGGTCTACCTGTATAGGGTGTTGCTATCTTATTGGGAAGATTTTACCCTATGAAAGATGATCATCTTATCATTGCATTTATTACATAACAAAATATAATATATTGTCTTGTTCAAAGTGTGCCTAAAAAATAGGTCTCCATAATTACTATTAATTATTAGTATGCATAAAATCCTGAAATGGTCATACACTATTTTATTCGATTATTTATTTTTTCTTTAATAAATACTCATTCTTGGGGTTAAAAGATATTAAATACTAGAACAAAAAAACATCTTAGGAGACACGTGATCTGGTAAAGACAGTTTATTGGTTTCTAGGCATATAATTATGGCTTGATGCTCATGCCACCATGCACATCATCTACAGTAATCACAACTTGAAGCCACTGCTGTACTGTATTTAGAGATTGAAGAGACACTTGGAGAAGTTTAGAAGTTCCCTGCAGGCTAATCATACAGTATTTCAAGTAAGCTTTTTTTGTGAATCCACACTATATAGAACAATTAAACAACAAAGCTGTTAACTCTCATACCCACCCACTCCAGACATGTATACCTGAAATACCCATAGTCTATTGAAGTGTTTAGGCAAGTAAAAGCACATCAATGGTTTTTTGGTTTGGACCACAACACTTTGTTTCTTCGATGTTAAGGAATAAAGTCAGGACTCCAATATAACTGGTTTCCATTTGTCAAAAGAACTGAAACTACATTGTTAAGCACAGTGATGACACCGGAGGAAGAATATGACACTAATATTGAGTTCATTACTGGTAAACTAGGGCTTTAAAATGGGCTTACTGCCTTTACTTTTTATATACATGCTGTATTTGTCGATGGTCATATTTGTCTAATGTACTAATGTCCTGTGTTACAAGCATTCAATAGCAAACTGGGGGTTCAATACAATGCAGGTTATGCGATGCAATGCAGGAGATGTTAGTTGAGCTTGAAATACACAGCAATTACTCAACAAAACATTTCATAATAATACTGTTACCAATGAGAAAGAGTCGACTGACAAAGAAACATTTTTATCATGTATTTCTAACTACAAAGAGTTAATATTACACACTATTTATTACTTCATACATTTATGATTCCTAAAATGTAAGAGTAACCAATCAGTGTTCTGTCTCTATCCAGTGATGACAATGTTATTGGGAAATGTTGAACTCTGGCCTGAGAGACCAAGATACCTTCAAAGTATTGTCCAAACCCTCTTACCAGCAATTGTGGCCAATTATATACTGTATATAAACATACACACAACACGCATATTTAGTGAACACTTCGCGCTTGAGTTAAATTCTGTCCGTAATATTGAACCAGGGTTTCAATACACTTGTTTTTTGTGCTGTAAAGATTAAAGGCAGAAGGAAATCATTTTTAATGAGGACAACATTGAAACTAGATGAAAATCACACTCATGCCCAGCAGTTTCTCCCTTCTTTGCATCTTCATTTCCACTCTTTCCTTTTCTGTTGAAAGAGATGAGCAATTATCCCTTTGCAGTCAGATGCACCAATGTAGTCTGTCCCGCTACCTGATAAATGAGCAGAAATTTATATCATGTTTATAAGGGTGTATCTATATTTTTGGGTTTGGGTCAGCAAGATTTTTTTTTTTTTTTAAAGAAAGAAACTATTCAGCAAGATTGACCAAATTTGACAAAGGTGACAGTGAATACTTTTATAATGTCAAATAAATGCTGTTCTATTTAACTTTCTATTCATCAAAAAATCCAAAAACAAATGCATCACAATTTCCACAAAAATATTAAGCAGCACAACTGTTTTCAATATTGATAAGGATTCTGAAGGATCATGTAACACTAAAAACTGAAGTAATGATGTTAAAAAAAATAAACATTAAAAAAATCATAACAACCCCAAACATTTGAATGGCACTGAATATCTGTTCTTGCTTACAGTCTATTTGTATGCATGAGTACACAAATTATTTTAACCGATTTTGTACCTTATTGTACATGGTGTTTGTCAGAGGCTGAAGGGTTGTTAGGGATGAGTTTAGAGTCAGATCCAGGGCTACAGACCCCTTCTATTAGATTCTTGTTGAAGTCGCCCAGGCTGGCAGCAGGAGACAGTCTGGGATAAGCTAATTGCCCCGTCAGATCCAACAGGTCCTCTAGAGCACGCATGTTACTCATTCCATTCTGCTGGGGAGAGTTCAGTGGGGAAAATTCTGGGATGGAGATTAACTCCTCCTTCGAGACGGGGCTGAGAACACACAAAATAAACATAGAATTTAAAAACACAAAAACATTAGATGCCAATATTCCTAGTAATATTTTAAGGTGCTTCATACTCCCAAATGTTTTAGTCAGAATAATGTCAGCTGTATGTAAAAAAGCAGAAACAAATAAATGGATACCAAAGATATCAACTATAAAAAAAGGGCTCACATATCACAAATGATATTTTCACATTGGAATTTGTTTTGAAACAATATTTTATCAAAAAAGACTCAATATATATATATATATATATATATATATATATATATATATATATATATATATATATATATATATATATATATTAATATGAATAAAGTATTTAACATAAATAACGTATTGTGTACTATTCATCTCCTTCATTCTTATGCTTGTATGTTTTGTTTACGTGTTTGCTGTTTTGTTTTTTTAGGCTGCTTCAGATTTAGTATTATTATTGTGTGTAAATAAAAATCACAAAGTGGACATAGATTATTCTATTCTTTCTCATTTTTTAACCTTTTGTTTTTCTGTGATGCAGTTCCTACCTGGTCAGTGTATAGGGCAGTCCAGTGTACAGGGATTGTTGACACAGTAATTGTGTCAAACTCACCTAACCTCCATGTACTGCACTTCATCTGCAGAGTCCTCTGCCGCTCCACTCTTCCCTTCCAAAGTGTCCAGATATATAAGAGGCAGAGGCGGTTTTGACTCTGGCAATGGGGTCAAGGAAGAGGGCGGGTGGTCTTTCCCTCCATCCTTTGATTTCACCTGTGTTATCATATGTCCACCAGTCTGAGTGAGAGTCTTTGCTTGTGGGACAGTTACCGTTGAGGTCCCCTGTCCATTGGCATGAGGGATGTCTGATTTCTTCACAGTGATATCCTTCTTGGGTCCCTGAGCTGTGGCCTGTCCATTCATTTGCACAGTTACAGGTGTTTTCACTTGGTTACTGGCCTCTTGTTTGGCCAACTGAGTGATAGTTTGGCTTTTTCCATTGGTCAGGCTGTTTTCCTGTAAGCTGCGAGTGGGCATATTTGCAGGTACTTTGACTTGGGTGGAAACTTTGGGTTTGCTGTCTGTAGTCAACACACTCGTAATATTTGCTACTGTGTTTTTAGGCGAGCTCTTCAGCGGGGTTACCTGCACTGTTGCTGTGGATGTGTCTTCTCGCTTTACCTCTTCTTTCACTTGTAAACTTTGGGTCTTCACCGGTTCACTCTTTTGTCTAATAGTCTTGGCATTTTCTTCACTTACCTTCCCTTTCTCTTCTGTTTTCACTGCAGTATGGTTGATGTTTACTTGGCCGTTCAAGGAGGGATTTGAGCATGACTTCATCTGTTTATTCGTACAGCCATTCTCTGGTCTTTTCCCTTCACTCTCCAGTTTGTAAGTCTGGCCATTCACAGAGGTTGTCTGCATGATGTTATCCTGAGATTTGACCTCAGCACCTGAGGTCAAATGGTTACCACCTGAGAAGAAAAGAGGTGTTGGAAACTATTATAATAATGAATCATATTTTTAGCCTGATATTAGTATTAGTCTGCAATAGACAGGAAAGCACTCTCATGTTAGTAAACCAGCAAGATACTAATGTAATTGTTACATGTGCATGTATTTTTGATTGATTTGTTTTGTGTAATGATTTGTCAGTCCTTTAGGAAGTGTTCTTGTTGTGTGTGTGCTTGTTTTAGTAGGAACTGATTTCCTGCACCTGTGTGTGAGTGAGTGAGGGATATAAGAAGCCTCGTTGCCATGTTTGGGCGGCGGTTCTGTAGCGCTCTCTTTTGTTATCCCCGTTCCTTCCACAATAATGTTTATTTTCTATTTGATAATAAATTCCCCTATTGAAAGGAGCTTTGTTATGATGTCCCTCTTTTGTGTAATGGCTGTGGCCGTAAGCGTCATAGGCACACTTTTAAAGGGAGGTGGGGAAAAACATACATAAAATATACATATTTGATAGGACTTTTAATGTTTTTGAAAGAGTCTTTGATCGAAAATACAGAGAAAACAGAAATATAATGAAATAATATTACACTTTTAAATACCTGTTTTCCATTTTAATATATTTTAGGAGTTTATTTATTCCTGCGATGGCAAAGCTGAATTTTCAGCATCATTACTCCAGTCTTCAGTGTCACATGATCCTTCAGAATCTAGTAAACAGAACTCTTAATTTAGAACCTCATGACTTTTTACTGAAAAACTAAATTATATTATTAATCTTTTAATTATTTTGGCAAAGTTTTATATACATATGACAAAAATAACTAAAAAGAAACCCTCATATATTACCTTTTATAATACTGATCTCACAATATACTTTGAAACCCTTTCAAACATGATATCACAAAACAAAAAGCTTATAAAAAGAATACAAAATTATTAACTTATATTTTAGTTGTTGTTATTCTCTGTTTTACATATGAACTGTACCACAATGCCATATATTTGTCTTGTACATTTAGCATTGTACTTATCTGTAATTGAACTAAATAAAAAAAAGAAATCATTCTAATTTGCTGATATGCTGCTCAAGAAACATTTTTTATTATTATTATCACAGCTGAAAACAGTTGAGCTGCTTAATATTTTTTGTGGAAACTGATACACTTTTTCTGGATGCTTTAAGTAATAGAAAGTTCAAATGAACAGTATTTATTTGAAATGAAAGATTTTTGTAACAATTTAAAAATATTTACTGACACTTGATTAATTTAATGGGGGGGAAAAATATTTAAACCTTTAACCAAAGTCACAGAACCACACAGATGCCTGCAATGTAAAACAGAGCAGACTAAATTTAGTCTGTGCAGTCTTTGAATAGATCACCTTGAACACAACCTATGACAGAGAATATGATCCCCTGCTGCCCTCTCCTGACATTGCTGTAGATACTGCAGTGATGGAAAAATACCAGCAGGCCTGCCTGACACATTAAGGTATATACGCTAGAACAGTCTGCATTCACAAAACAAGGAAACCACATACATGGGTAACACATTTCTATGGATAGCCTAATAGAAACAACACCCACTTTTTATCATAATTAAAAATGTAGTTATTAACATAGGTTTTAATAATGTTGGTGTGTGAGAGTGAGTGTGAGAGAGAGCAGGGTTGAGTCCTACCTGGTGGAGAAACAGGGTGGTAGACAGGAGATAGGGGCTCTGGGCTATCCTCTCTCTGTGTGAATATTAGGTCATTCTGTTACTTTAACTTTCAGAGCAATCATTTCCGCTCTACTTTCTCTACTTGAAAAAGGGCTATTCATATCACATCCATATGGATGGTAACCCATGTAGGTAGCTGTACAATGCTTTACCTAATTGATTAAAAGTCACACGTTCCTGCTCTACAGTAGAGTACATACAGTATACTGTATTCAGCTTAGATGTCACGCTAAACAGTAGTAAATTTAAGATTGATGGATAGACTGTTTCTCACAGATACCTTCATCTCGCCGTCACTCTTTCTGGTTCTCTTCATTATTTCCTCTATTCTCTGCAAAGAATTTAAGCAGATATCAAGAACATTTAAGCACTTTCTAATGTTGACTCCTATTGCAAAATACAAGAAATAAGAGTGAATGGAGTAAATGTTGTACTTGGTGAAATCACGTTCACCGACTAGAATGAAATGGTCAGTGAGGTTTGGTGTTTACAGTTTATTTCTATGTGGTGTAATCTTTCCTTCTACCAAATGCACGGCATCTGCTCTTTTACTGGGTTGTGTAGTATACAGCTCTTTGCAAAACTGCTTACTGTGGCTTGCTGCTGGTTGTACTACCTTTTTTCGCTGTTGTCTCTCCTGTTCCTCCTGCTGTTTGAAATGTTCTCTCTCCTGCCGCTGACGCTCAGCGTCCTTCTGAGCACGAATCTCTGCCTCTTCTTTCTATTGAACACAGACACAACTGAAAAGATTATGCGTGGGTGGATGGATGGATGGATGGATATAATGTTTGTTTTTGGTTTTGAAAATGCAATTGCAAACAGGATTTTGCATTCTTCAGAAGTTTGGAATCTAACTACAAGCAAGTGCTTTTTTTGTCCAGTGACTGAAAAGAGTAATTTCACTCTAAATCGTCTGACCTCTTTCTCCATCTGGGCCTGGAGCTCCTTCTCTTTCTGTTTTTTCTCCTCCTGCTCTCTCTTCTTCTGTTGCTGCTCTTGTCTACATTTCTCCTCCTCTGCTTGACGAGTCTTGTCTTCCTGTCGAGCTCTTTCCTCCAGCTGCCTCTTCTTGAGTTGCTCACTCTTTAGCCTGAAAATCAAACACAGACCAACACAGTCTCATGAGGAAACGTCACTCTAGCACCACCAAGACCTCACTCCTGTACTGTATTCAAGCGACATTCAAACATCACACTGGCAAAGTATTTAACTCATTTTTTCTTTTCAATTTGAATTCCCGCTTTTTATAAGATATCTTTCAGTTTCTTATAATTGTTTAGCACTTTGGTACTTTGTGATTTTTAAAGTACTTTATAAATAAATTTGATTTGAATTGAATTGAAAAACATACAAAACCCCCACAAATTTGTAGTGCATTTGATAACATTGTTATGCAACGCATACTCAGGGCCCTATTTTAACGTTCAAAGCACATGGTCTAAAGCACACGGTGCAAGTGCACTTAGGGCAAGTCCGAATCCATTTTTGCTAGTTTAACGACGGGAAAAATGGTCGGCGCGCCCGTCGCATGGTCTAGAAGGGTTGTCCCTTTTCTCTTAATAAGTAATGGGTGTGTTTTGGGCGTAACGTGCAATAAACCAACCAGAGCCTCATCTCTCATTCCCTTTAAAAGCCAGTTATGCTCGAACCATGGCGGATTGCTATTTTGCAAACGGAAAGACTGAACGCTTCTCCAGAGAGGAACCGGATCTGCTCGTGCAGGAGGTTAAAGTGCGTGAGCAGACCATCCACGCCTGGGCAAGCCGGATTCCACCATATCTGTATGTACACAATAATAATCTTTTACATTGTAATCCTTTTATTTTTAATATTTGGCATGTTTGTGTGCAGCTGTGCATCCCTGTGTGTGTAATAAGCAGAATGTAGGCGCGTTGTGGACCCGCCTATAGACGCACATTACTAACGCGCTCTTTAAATAACAAAACAAATATTGCGCCATTGACTTTAGACCAGGTTTCAGTTGGTCAGTGGCGCTGTTTATTTCAGTTGCCTCAAAATAGCAATGCGCCTGAACACACCTCGTCTTCAGACCAGCATGCCCATGGGCGCACAAATGGGTGCAAATGCATTTGCTATTTGAAACAACGCAGCGCAGGGCGTGAAAATGATAACTGCGTTGGGCTGAAACTAGCAAAAAACACTTGCGTCACGCCTGACGCTGCATTGCGCCAGGTGTATGATAGGGCCCTAAATGTCTGAGTAACGTTCAACAAGCACTGACCATATACAAATACAGCATCAGTCACACAGACGCATACTTTTCCTGCTCCTCCATTTCCCTGCGTTGTTTCTCCTCCTGTTCCTTCAGCAGTCTGGCCAGACGCCTGCGTTCTGCAAGCAGACGAGACGCCTCCTCAGCATCTGTCGTTCCAGCAACCACCTTGCCAACAGAGTTCACCGGTGAAGGATCTGTCAGAGTGAAAGCAAGAATAAAACCATTTTCACAATTTAAAGCCACTGTGAATGAGAACAGCATAAATACAAATTAGACATATCATTGCAGTTAAAATGAGTTTCAACAAGCGAGACACTAGTCCAAAACTACTCAACTTTGGAAAGCTCAGGGACCACAAAACAGGATCTCTTTAGGCCCTTTTTCCAGGGACAAACTCCTAATTTAGATACTATAGTAATTCTTCTATACTAATGAGACCATGTGTGGTATCCAGTATGACCAAAATCTTATATCACAGCAACAGTATATATCATGATATCATTCTTTTTTTCCTTTAAATTTAACCCAAAAATGTATATTACACAATCATGTAGTAATTAATGGCTATTTTTTATAATCCAGTTAATTAAAAGCTTTACAAATGAATGTTATACTACTTCCTCTCACTTAATTATTTTTTTAGCCTCTGTTTTATCTTAATTAGTTTATTTTAATTGAACAGTATTTTTTGTATTTTTTTATTTGTCTTCAATTAATTTAAACTGAACTGACCAATGCACACCAAAAGATAAGATTATTCATTTAACAAATGAATGGTAATCCAGTCAATGGTGCCAAAACAGCACATATTGCAACTCAAATAAAAAACAAAACACAAAAAGTAGCACATGTAACATATAATAAATAAACTTCATATGAAAAGCCACAAAAAAAGACTTGAGTGAGCCTGCACTAGTGTACTGAAGCAGTAGGTCATATTGTGTTAAAGGTTTCAGACCCACCTGCACACTTGCTTGCAGTCGCATCATTACCGTTTGACTTGGGATGGTTTTTCTCAGGGGTCTCCATCTTGTCATTCATTTTTTGTTGGTTTTCCAAAACACTTTTCTTCTCCTTTGCCCCATTAGTGTGATTTTCTATCTTTATTGTTCTTCTTTCTGGAGGAGGTGTGCCGGAAACAGACGTCTCCATTTTTGGTGCCTTATCCAAACTTTCATTGTTAGGGCCCTCCTTCGGATCCTGACTTTTGATGTCCTCAGCATTTTTGTCTTGTGTCTTCCTGTTGTTGTCACAGACTGGTGTGGCGGGTCTGTGTTTCATAGGGGAGGGTGGATACTGCCGCACTGTACATGGTGACTGAGTACGATTCTTAGGCACTAACCTTCAACCATACAAACAAACAGCTGATTCAGATACTTATAGTCAGCAGAGTACTGAATAAAAATGTAATTAAAGGTTGTATCAGCGATTTCAGCCCCAAACATAAATGATCACATTCATCTAATCTTTCCTAACGATCCGCTAGCTGCCCGCCCCATAAGCAGGCTGTCAAAAAAACCGCGTCTCTGTAGGCAGCCTAGGCTCTGAGATCTGCACACAAAAACAAATGGGTACAACCACCACTCAAAACCAAAATAAACAGTGTTCCAACCAATCACCGACAGGGGGCGGGTTTTGTTTGTTTTTGCGCTCGTGCACGGCGCCTGTACTCGAAGTCAGAGCTGAAGAAGAAGCCAGCGCGTCTGAATCAACTTGGTCAACGGACCAGATACAGTGAACATGGAAGAGGCAATCCCCAAGAAGAGAAGGAGGATTAGGGCGAAAACCGTCGTTATTCGTTAAAGAAACGAATAATAATTGGGAAGGCTTTTGAATGGTGGAGAGAGCTTAAAGATTTGAAAAATGTTAAATCGGACGCTGAGGTTGCACTGTTTCTTCTGGACAGGTGAGTAGCTTCTAGTGCTGACTTTTTCCAGATGTGAACTGTGTGTGAAAATATCCTTCTTTAAAAAATATGAGTGAAGCTCGACTAAACTTGGATAGCTCTAGCGAATATCAGATTGTAGGGATTTAGTGTGTGAGTTACGTTTGTTATATGTGTGCATGATCTTTTTTTTTCATGATGCACGAAACGGGAGGGAGGGGCGAGCTAACTTGGTTTGTTTGGGATCTCGCTTCAAACACAAACAGAAGTGACGTCACCCACAATCGCTGATACAACCTTTAATTGGAGATCACTGCCCTAGCATCCTATATAATATATATAAATAAGTGTGTGTACGTTACTTGGGTGTGGCAGGTGAGGCAGAGCGCTGGGTAACATCAGCAGGAGATTTCGCTCGCCTCACTGGTGAACCTGTGACCGGAGAGCCAGTCCTCCTCTCTCTACGCAATCTCTCCTTCTGCAACAAACACAAATAACACATAACACTCTATGGTACACAGCTGCCAAATGGCAACATACCAGTTTCCTTCGCTTTGTCATTTTTCACAAACACTATCAAAAAATTCCATTGGTGAAATCAAAGGGGTCTTTAAAGTAACCAATAATGTGCTGTTTTAACCCACTTGACTATCGATTTCCTCTCTAAGTTTTTCCAGAATATCAACCTTATATTTCTGATGGTATTTTTACTTTTTTATAAGTTAATTTGGTGTTTTTATTCAAAGATCAACTTTGTTTCAAAAGTTAAGATTTCTTCTTTTTTTTTTTGGAGAAGTCTCTTATGCACGCCAAGGCTGCATTTATTTGATCAAATATTCAGTAAAAACATAAATATTATGAAATATTTCTACAGTTTCAAGTAATTGTTTTCTATTTGAATATATATTTTGAAATGTAATTTATTCCTGTGATGTTAAAGCTGAATTTTCAGCATCATTACTCCAGTCTTCAGTGTCACATGATCCTTCAGAAATATGAGGATTTGATGCTTAGGTAAAAAAATAATAATATTGTTATTATCAATGCTGAAAACAGTTGTGCTGCTTAATATTTTTGTGAAAACCTGACATTTTTTTCAAGATTATTTAATGATGGAGTTCAAAAGAACAGCATTTACAGTATTTGAAATGGAAATCTTTTGTAACATTATAAATGTCTTTACTGTCACTTTTGATCAATTAAATGTGTCCTTGTATTAATGTTTTTTAAAAAACAGTAGATTCATTTTTACAAAATATTGATGAAATATCACCAAATGTTAATTCTGCATTAATGAATGAGACATTTAATAATAAATCCATTTAATCAGAGGAGTAATTAAAAAAAAATAAAGAAATAATAATTTTCTATTCTATTTTCTATTGTGATACCATAGGGCACATTTTCCTCCATTTTTTTTCCAAATTGTCATTAGAATGTTAAAAATCAAATGAATTAAAATGAACATAAAAATAGATAGTGATAATGAAAATAATGCAATAGTGCAATAATGCAATAATGCAAATATAATAGAAGGATAAAAGTGTTTTATTGCCTGTATTTGCATCTCTGTATGGACAGTATGACTAGCTAAAAACATGAGCTTCTTTTGAGTTTGTAACAGATACTGTATGTCCTGACCTTGGGGGTGTCGGGGGCACTGACAGCTCCAATGGACTCTTCTGCTGGCACAGGATTGTTTCTGCGGCGGCTCGGTGACCCTCGGTAAGGTGACCTGTGAGGACTGGGGGGCACTGAATAGGAGAGACATAGGAGCATTTCTCAGTCAGAATAGATCTATCAATATTACCATTTTTGTCTACACAGCGTAAACTGACATTAAACACCTAGTAAGCCACATGTACACACACATACACACTCTTTGGTTATTTGAAACAAACAAACAAAACAAAAACATTCAGTGGGGCACAAATGAACACAGATGTAATTCAGCTCCAAGCTTTCACAACACAATACACCTGTTGCGGAGTGTGTGTGTGTGTGTGTCTGTGTCTGTGTGTTACCTTTGCAGCGCAGGCAGGACAGATGCATCTCTGCAGCACTGTTACAGCGAGCCAGTGAGGAGTGTGTGTGTGTGAGGAGGCGATTCACTTTTTGTTTGTCCATAGAATTCAGATGATCATGACGGGCTGACAGAGAGAGGGATGGAGGAATGCAGAGAATGAAGGGGAAAAAGGTAGGGATGAATTGGGTGGGTGGGACTGACATAACATTAATATGAATGGAGAGATGGAGGGATGTATTTGGATAGGTGTGTCCAAAGCCTCTTTTTTTTAACATGCATTAAAAACTTTATGTTAAAGAGACAGAAGCATACAGCTCCACAGATTTAGATTGACCTTGATATGAGGTTGAACAATTAATGGCAGAAAACCCATTTCATGTGAACTACTGTTTTAAGGTAATTCAGATAGTTTATTGCATCCTTCCTAACAAACCTAATTAGGATATATAGAAAACATGACGATGAAGGGCAATTAGTGCATGTGTGTGTGTGTGTGTGTGTGTGTGTGTGTGTGTGTGTGTGTGTGTGTAGTTAACTCTATGTGACCATCCAAATAGAAAGAAAAACTACCCATGTACAGACATACATGCACACGCAACACTTCAACACTGAAATAACCATAGCTGTGATTAAAGTACTGGTTCACACAAATTAAGTTGTTAGTAAAAAATGTACAGTCACAATCATACAAAACTCACAAGAAGACACAGCAGCACACTGACATTCAGATTTGCTTTGACTTTCACCAACCAAGTACTGAGCAGAGCAAGTGCACAATAAATATACAGTGCCATGCTAAAGAATTCAGACTCACAAATCAACAATTCTCCCATTCTCTGTTTTGTTTTGTTTTGTTTTTTATTTCAAAGCACCAATTTAGCTTACCACCATATTGAAATAGTGCCACAGATTATCAGATGGATGCGATTTTCACGAGGCTCTATTTGCTTAAAGGGTATTTTTACATTGCAAGTGGTTCTGGCCTGTGCAAAACATGCTGTCATGATGCTAGGATTGCCTAGGTGGTTGCCAGGGTGTTGCTATGTGGTTGCTACTTGCTAGCATGTTGCTATGCAATTCCTAGATTTTTTGGGGGGTGATTTCTATGTGGTTTTGTATTGACACAAGTAAAAAACAAAAACATCCCCAAGTGTGATACACTTAAAAATATTTAGGCCTAAATTTTAAATGTAAGATTTATGCATTCGATTTGCAATACAATTTCTGACCCTTGCATGCAAACTGAATGCATTTTAAATACACAATGACCAAGTTTATATATTTATCATCAATAAATCCAATTTATTTCAATCTCATATATTTTAACTATAGTTGAATATAGTTTGTTGTTCCTTAGCTAGCCATATTTGATCCATGGTTGAAAAACTGATTATGAAAACTGATTATAAACTGATCATGTTCTAAGCTATTTGAATAAATAAAATTTGAAAGGATGTTTATATATATATATATATATAAAACCAACTAGATGCCAATAGTTAAAATTAAACTTTGGCATGATTTTTCCAGTGCAAAATCTTAACCGTTTCATATGTATGACTGGCAAATATGCATCAAATTTATTTGTTTTCTTAAAACTGTTTTCAAAATAGATGGAAATGTTATATGCAATTTTCCTAAATATTTGTGGGAGTCTGGTCCTTAGATATGGCTCATGTCCCTCCTTTAGTGTAACAGGATTATCTTTTACCTGTTTTATCACCCGGCAGGCGAAAATCATAAGTCAGGCATTAGTATTTGCCATAGCATGCACCACTAATTAAACTAATTTTGGCTTTCAGTGGTTAAAAATAAAATAAAAATCACATTAAACTGAATTTAAATAAAGGGTTTGTAATTCAGTGTTTGAGAGAAGGTGCTAAAGGCCTGAATATGTTTACAAGGCACTGTACGTTCAGATTAGGTATAGCAGCATGTGAATTGCTCAGCAAAACAAAAATCTTGGACATTTTCATACTTGAAAGCAGCCTTCTCTTGTCATCCCCTTATCTTGCTGGCTCTTGATCTAAAAACATTTTCAAGGCAGCTAATTTTACATAGCGTTAATGGGCAGTCTCTTGTCTGAGACATAAATGCAACTGGGTCCCAGTTGGATATTATGCAAGCATTTACCCCTTTTAGCCCCGTAAGTGCTCAAGCAGGAACCAGGGAAGGAGAGCAGGCTGGTTTAGAGTTTTGGAATGGAAACCAAAAACTAGAAGAATGGTGTCAATCTGAGGGGACAGGAGGCAGAAGGTGGTGAGAAAAGGCCAGCTTTAGGGTTCATACCGTTGCCTGATTCGATGGCAGTAGGAGAGGGGGCAGCGAGGTCATGGGGGAGGGCAGCAGAGAGAGGAGGCGGGGCATTCTCCCAGTCACCTGGGCGATGGGGTCACGGCAGAGCACAGCAGAAACAGCACAGCGTTATGGACAGACTGGGCACCCTTAGATGAAGTGTGTGTTTTTGGGGTGGTGTGTGTGTGTACCTTAGCACACACACCTAAACACTTTCACCACATCCTCTGGCGCTCTCCAAGCACAGCAGCCAGACACAATGAGCAGGGCTGATCTGACTTCAGACACACTCAAACTCAAAACCTGTGTCCTTCACACACACACACACACACACACACTGCAATCATCAAATCAGAACACACTTTTATGATCAAGTCCTGAAATCATCTCAATGCTCTCAATAAGCATTAATTTCTAGGGAAAAACATAAAGCAACAGGAATTAGGATGATTGTGTCTTAAGATGAATCGTTCAAATATCACTGTGGATAAAAGCACACACTAAATTAATAAATGTAACTTTTTAATTTAAGATGTCTTTTCAATTTTTAATTAATTAATTAATAATGTTGACTTTTTTTTTTTTTTTTACAATCTACAATGACCTCAAAAATATTACACAAACACACATTTTTCCTTTTGAACTTCCCTAGCTTTTTAAATGATTAAATCTAAGGCTCCAAATCAATAACCAATTTCTTAACCAATTAATGAGCCTGTATCTAAATCAAGCCAAAAGGATGGCGCTCAGCTCACAGAAAGTGCTGATTCACTTATGCCTGCCTGTCTTTCCTCTCTGATGAGCTGAATTATGAAACCTGAGCTCAGCTCTAGAAACACTGTGTCCTAAAGCCCAGACGAAAATCATGCAAATGCAAAGACGCTGCACTGTAGCTGCACAACAGCTTCTTAACATACAACTGCTCTGTGAAAAATGTACATAACAAAAAAACATTTAAAGCCAATAATCTTGTATTTAACTACTATGTAAAAATAAATAAATAACGTTCATGACATAAAATGAAGATGGAAATTTTAATAATAAATTCAATTGAATTTAGAAAAATGCAAAATAAAAGCATTTTCATGAGTGGTCTCAATCCACCATTTCATGCCTTCCTTCCATTCTCACTCCATCACTACTCACTCCCCTCCACCAAGTCTCTCCTTTTCTTCATCCAATGTCATGTGTGTTCATTACACTCACCTTGAGCGGTGCCGTTGGGACCCCATACCCAGCGTTTATTCCTGTTCTCCAGCTGCAGGCTGCGCTCATGTGATCTCCTCATCAGAGCCTCCAGACGCTCCTGTGTGTGCCGTTACAGCACAGGAAACACCAGACACTCACTTCACCAATGGATATTTACACCAACAATTTTAGCACAACTACTCTGTGAACAGTATATGCACTGAAAGAAGAATACGCATAATTCCATATGAGTCCTCATATGCACCACCCTTCAAAGGTTTGGGCTAAGATGTTTTATTTTTTTAAAGAAACTAATACTTTTATTCAGTAAGGATGCATTAAATTGATCAATTGTAACAGTACAGACATTTATAATGTTATAAAAGATCTCTATTTTAAAAAAATGCTGCTCTATTGAACTTTCTGTTAATAACAGAATTTTTTATAAATGCAGTACATCTGTTTTCAACATTGATAATAATTACAAATATTTCTTGAGCACCAAATCAGAATCAGAATTATCACCAAATTAGAAGGATTTATGAAGGATCATGTGACACTGAAGACTGGAGTAACCATGCTGAAAATTCAACTTTGCAGTCACAGGAATAAATTACATTTTAAAATATATTCAAACACAAAATTACTGTTTTTACTGTATTTTGGATCAAATAAATGCAGCCTTGGTGAGCTTAAAACATTTCTTTCAAAAACGTTTTAAAAAATCTTTAAAGAATGGCACATCACTGACTAAGATACTAACTATAACCTTAACTTTAAATTTCCCTCATTAAGTTCTTTACTAGGATTTCAGGTTGTAATGATTAGCACTAGAACTCATTCCCTTCCATAGAAAGGGCGCTAAATAAGCACCACACGATCAGCAAGTCGTATACTCAAATATTCACATGACTATTCAGAAAGCAAGTTTCACCCATCTTATTTACGCTTTCATTTGTGTTTGCTTTGCATCTATGAAAATGGTTCCAGCAACATTTGTTGAGACCATCATCACCTCCCCCGCATGCCACCTTGTTCCTCTTTCTTTCTTTGCCCACTCCTTTACAGGATCTGCTTTTCCAAAATGAACATAGTTGTGAAAGCTGACTGTGTGGCAGATGAAGGCCATGTTTGAGAAGAATAATGAATCCACAGCCCAGCGAGAGATAAGGATTAAAATACAGTCTGACCTGATCTGGCCAAATCCCTCTGATTGGAGAAGTATCACAAGCCACGACACCCAGTAAACACTTGCAGGCTCATAACATATATAAGAATAGTGTCTGCCCTGTGGGTGGCTGATATTACATGGCAAGGCAGGAATTAATTGCCATAGATACAGTGCATTTGCTGAAAATGTCATTCACACAACATAAAAAGTCATGATTCTTTCTTTTTTTCTTCTTCTTAAATTCAATGGTTTTAATCACAATGCAGCCCTAAATTTATTCACAATACAGGCTGTATAGCTGTTATTGGAGATGAATCACAAGGGATGTTTGAAATTACTGTCCTGAGATCTGGCATATCAATGCCGTATGAGAAAATAGCATCCGAAAGGTCAAGGGAAGAAGAGCACAATTATCTTGTGTCCTTCTCAAATGAAAAGAAAAACAGTATCTATAATTCCAGGGACTCGTTAACCTAGGACTGGTGGATTTGACTAGAGATCTCTGACCTTCTCCTCTTCTAGCTGCTGTCTTCTCTTCTCCTCCACGGCTGCCCTGCGAAGCTCCTCCTTCTGTCTCTGCTCGTCCAGCCGCTTCCATCGCTCTTCCACCGTCTTCTCATACTGCAGCTGTGCTCGCTTCTCCTTGTCCTTTATAGCTTGCTCCCGTGCAGCTGAGAAAGAGCGAGAGAAATTATTGACTACATTCTGGCTTGTTATGAAAAAACACCATCCAACTCAGAGCTCATCATCGTTACTGACAGCTTCTCACAGGGAATGTTCTTGTGTACATTCGCCATTTTTTCAATTGTTGGTCTATGTAGACATGCAATACACTAGACAAACATCTTTGGCAATTAGCATTGCGTTGTTTGGATACCAGGACAGGTTACTAAGGGTTAAGTTGTACCCTTAGGTAGATTTGGTTTGTAGTGGACAAGTTCATACATCTTAACAAACTTCTTACAAACAACTGTACAAAGGACAGGAGTCATCATTAAATATCAAACCATTCATCCGCTGTAACTGTCTAATACACAGAGACGCTGGGTCAAGCTGTCTCTCCCCAATCAGCCTACTAGACCATCAGATGAGAAAATCACATTGTCCTGATTCAGTATGAGATGTTGTCAGGCTATATGTCAGTGTCATTATTCTAGAATTATTTCCGTAACTTGTTACAAAATAAAAAGTCTCTTACCTCAGAAAAACAAACTTTTCTGTCCTGTCATACTTTATATATACTAAATATATACTTTCAATACAATGTAAGTTGCTTTGAATAAAAGCATTTGCTAAATGCATAGATTAAAACCTTAAATTAAGGCCCATCCAAAGTTGAAATCGCCCTGTGAGTCACTTATTTGAATTTACTGCCCCCACACATACAGAGACATAAACAGACACACTTACCCAAACTCTTCTCCCTCTCCTCACGTCTCTCTTTGGCAAGCCTCATCCTATCATCTGTCTTCAAATAGCCCTCCAAATCTTTGACAGAGTGACAGGGAAACATAAAAACAAAGGAAAATAGACACTTTATCTCTTTAGACAGGTTTTACACTGCCTGTGCTTTTAGACAAACAGCCAGATGAGTTGGAAGATGTCCACTCAACACAAACAGAAAAGGTGGGACTTACATTGTTTACCTGCATATGCGTTGGTATTGGCCGAATGGCGTGAAGGTGAAGCGTGCCCATTGGTCTGAGTTTTCTTTTCTGTGACAGTGGGTGGGGTCAGTGCGTCATCTTTAGATAGGATGAAGATAAAGGATGAGGAGGATGAAGAAGAAAACTGTGTCAGTGAAAGTTCATTAGTAGCCATTGTTAATTCTGCAATCAACCTCTTTTCAACAATATGATATCTGTCCAAAAATCATACAGTATATAATATAATATAATATAATATAATATAATATAATATAATATAATATAATATAATATAATATAATATAATAAATGCATTCCTGTAGCTTAAAAAATACAGAATGGCGCCTGCAACACCAAAGTCATGGGTTTGATTCCCAGAGAATTCAAGAACTGACTTTAATAGTTTAATAAAGTTGCAGTGTACAACTTCTGCATCACTAGCAGCAGAGAATTGTAAAAATGTTGACTATTTCCATCTGTGCCAATAGCCTTGTGGGCAGCGCACCGACATATAGCGCAGTTCCCGGATCGAGATCCTTTCCCTCTGCTTTCCTACCATGCTTTCCTGTCTCAAACTGGTTTTCCAAACACCTCTACCACCCTGTCTGCTATTTTTTTTAACAAAACTGGTAGTTTGGCTTACCTAAACTTGTCTGCACTCTACTTGATTCATCACAAAAACGAAACATTTCATGTTTAATGTTACTGGGAAAAGTGTAGGAGGGTCTTACTCTGTTTCATAGAAGGGCTGCCTGGGTTGGTTTTCTGGTAAGTTGGTGAGGCATGGCCATTGCTTTGAGATTTATTTTCCGGAGTTAAAGGTGATGTCATGACTTTAGTAACTGCAGAGAAATAGAGAACACACCAATCGTGGTGAAAATTGATTGAAACGGCAAGCTTCAGTTTTGAGTAGACCTTGACATACATAGCTGGCCTTGTTAAACATAGATATTGTACTTGAGTTATAAAGACACAAAAATATAAGTATATAAAATGGCAGACAGAGCATTACAGAATTACTGTTGAACAAATTGAGGTAGGCGAAAACAGAGAGTTTGTTTATGTTCTGAGTCTAGCAGAAAGAAGAGACCATTGATTATTTCTGGACTAGATTATAAATCTGAAGCTGTGGCCTAGATACTTCTGCTTCATCTATTCCCAAAATTTAAATGCAAACACAATCAGTCATTTCACAGTCACATACACTTAATAGAGTCAGACATTATATCATTTATCCACAAAGATCCACTGACGATTGTCAGTGGACAATATATCAATATATTAGGCAGTTTAGTACAGAACCAAATTACATTTCGTGACCTGAAGAGTACAGTGGCCTCTAAAAATTACTAGATGGTTCTTAAATTGTCTACTTTATTTTCCATTTCCTTGTTGACAGCATTGAAATCTTTTTAGTTCAGTTATGTTCCGTTTATCTTCTTTCCTTCCTCTGCATGACGGTTCTTTTAAATAAATTGCTCACTCATGATGGTGTCCGTTGTTGGCTGTCTCCTTCCTCTCTCCCTCTCTCTCTCTCTCTCTCTCTCTCTCTCTCTCTGCTTCTAAATCTATATTCCCAGTACACACACAAGCTCTGCTATAAGAATCAGAGAGTGCACATAAAGCTGACTGAGAATGTGTGAGCTCAATGTCATAAAGAACAATGAATAAAGCAACACTGCACTACAACTACTGTGGGTTTTATAATAATTTTAAATAATTATAAATAAATCATTTTGTAGGTTCTCTGGATGTCTTTACTTAGCACTACACGACTAAAGACCATGAATATATATATATATATATATATATATATATATATATATATATATACAGTATATATATCATCTCTAGCTAGCTCTTGAGGCCAGGGGAGTGAGGTTTATCAACAGCTCTTACTAGCTAAACCTCACTCCCCTCCGGGTCACGGCACCAATGTAACCCCTCAAGGCCCTTACTCTGTGCAGGCCTCGAACCCAGGTTGCCGGCATGAGAGGCGGGCAAGCTAACAAGGGCGCTATAGATCGCAGGCTCTAGCTTCAAGTCGCTAGTGTGCCTCTTGAGGCCAGAGGAGTAAGGTTTACTTGCACAGCTCCTACTAGCTGGTCTCTGTCACATTTATAACACACTATATCATAGAACCGAAATGTTTAGATGTGGCTGATAAAACTCAAACTGTTGTAAACTCTTAAAAATAAAGGTTCCAAAAGGGGGTTTTCGTAGCGATGCAATAGAATAACTATTATAGGTTCCCTAAAGAACCTTTCTGTGAACACTGAACAGTTCTTAAAGTCTACATAACTTTATAGTATATACAGTAGTAAGTCTACATAATTATCTTAAACTTAAGAGTGATCTGTCAAAATACTTAGTGCACACAGCCACACACTAAGTGCACTATTCAGATTTGGTTAAGGACACTAAAGTAACAGGCAGTAGGACAGGGACAGTTCTGCAGATGCTGCTTAAATCACACGCATTCACTCAAAGCTATAGTCTACTGAAGCGAGCTCCTGAGCCGGATGTAGCTCTCTTCATCGATTTTCCATTAAATTAATTTGGCAAATGGACGTGGTTTTAGTCTTAACGGCTCTAATCTCATCAGAGTTTTGACTTTATAGTGTTGGGCGCTGTTCGCCCCGTCAACTTTCGAGAGCCTCCCATGCCATGAAAATGCAACGCAGTACAAAAATAATGTGGGCTAGGCTACTTGCCCCATCTGAGGATGACAAACAAACAAACAATAAAGACCTGCAGCGAGTCGCACCGGCAATTGTATAAAAAACAAAAAATCTGAAAAAGCAAAAGGTAATAGGACTAAATGAAAGAATAATTCCGAAGTGGAGCAAGGCCAGTTGGGATGTGAAAGCATAATAAATCAGAAGCTTTAGCGGGTTTTGTCGGCCAGATCAGACAGAAGCATTTTGAAAAGGAAATCATTCAACTGGGCACGTCAGTCATTGTTCTTCATCGCCACACTGTAAGCTAGTAATCATGCTAGATAAGCATAAACATATCTATGAGTGAATCATTGTCCTACTCATCCAATACCACGCTAACAAAACACCGCAGGTACGCTTACTGAATTATTGGCAGACAGAATGTTACCTTTGAGCAAGTCGCTCACCTGTCGTTGTACTGACCGCGGTGTTGACAGCGTTCTCCGCCATCTTCGTGGTCCACCGGCGGCTCTCCCAAACGCAATGTCACGGACAACGACGCAGCAAAACGCTATCCCCAAAAATTCAGGCCAAGAGAAACAGCATAGCCAGCCCCTTCCTGGACTGCCGCTGCGGTACCGGGAACCGATCCGCTTTCCACAATCTCAGCAGAATGCGCTCTGTGGCGCTATCACAGATTGTTATGCAGTGATGAATCGATTGAGATGAAAGTTAGTCTCGCGCGGCGGGCCGGGAGTTTTCTTACCAGCTGTCCCGTAAAGAGGATACGAATAGCGTTTGTGTGGACAGAGACTGTCACTGGATAGAGAGGCTGGACAGCGCAGTAGTGCTGAAACACTGAGTGACGTCATCGACATCGGTGAAATAGAGGCAAAGAACTGATTTCGATCTTCGAGAAACGACTGCCCACGTCCACATGTTCACAACCCAAACTTTTCAAATTACTCATTTTTAGTATAGGCTACTTATGGAGAATTAAAGAAAGCAATAATAGTACAAATTAAAATAGTTTAATTAAAATACAGTTTTGTGTGTGTGGTCTATACACAGAGAAAAGAGAGAAAACAATGAACAATATAGCAGCAAAAATGATAATTTAATTTTTGTTTTTCGTCGCGAGCAAACAATTCCACTGACCTCAAAAATATGCAAATTCGAACGTTACGGTCAAATGTAGCTTAGATTCTACATATTTGAATAATAGCCTAATTAAAATTAACTTGGAGAAAAGAGATGTTTTTTTTATGATAACAAAAAAATATATAGACAAGAGTCACATTTTTATGTTAAATCTTATACTACTTGATAAGTTATACATACATAAACATTATGTGAATGGTCTGAATGAATACCCAATATCACCCATTTAAAAGCTGACATGAAGATTTACCTTGAAACGTCTCAAGGACTTTCAAGCCGCAAAGCAATCAGAACTAAGGACATTTACAAATAATTAAATTCCTTTTTTTCTTTTGATTATACACATATACTCTCTTCTGTTATTTTTTCTTCTTCTTTGATATGAATGTTATCCTTAACAATACCAGATGTTAAAAATCTTATTAATGATTTTATGATGCTATGGAATTAGACATTTTATTATATTTTATAGCAGCATTATATATGAAACATTTGTATCTTTTGAAATGTTACATGTATATTTTGTTGGAAATAAACATAAAAACCCAGGATAATTACTAATACACTGTGAGGTATGAACAGCTAAACACAAAACAATTTTCCAGGATTAACAATTTTAACCGTGAAAAGCTTAATTTACACTTCGAAAATTGCCCAAACTGGTTAAAAGAAACATTTACTCAATGACCAAACACTGCATCACAGGTATAAGGGAAATCTGAGGTTATTACTAGGTCTCCTAGGGTAGTGAACAAACGGTTGTAACGTGGAGACGGTCCATGTGATATGGATTAAACGTGGCAGTCCGAAACAGCCAGAGGGGCAGCAGGACAGCCACTAACGAGTCCAAATGAAATGGGTCAGTACGACTTCTCATACAAAACGATGTGCACATAGAGGGAGCACAACACTTGAAAAGATCGTCTCCAAACATCCAGGAAACCTACAATTGCGTGACCAAACTAATGTCTGCAAAAACTACATTTTTACACCGAATTTGAAAACCTCTAATATTTATCGGGACTAATGCTACTAGTAAACGTCTAGTTTATGGCTAAAGGGTTTGTATTAAATTCAGTATCATTCAAAAGATAAAATAAATAATGAGAGTTTCCGCATTTACTGCCAAATAGTGGTCAAATTATGTTACTGCTGCTTCTACTCCATACAAACTGACGGTGAAAAACAACAACGAAAATAAAATATATATTTTTATTTCAGGCACAGCAGAAATGCATGCAAATGCCATGGGGAAGAGACAGTGTATATGGAGAAAAAATAAAAATACAGAAAAAAAGAAAGCAAATATACAATATAAGAAATAAAGTTCAGTCCAAACAGATAAAAGGCTCGACTTTTTATTGTAGATTCTGCATTTCCTTGCATTTTAAATTCCACCACATACAGTGGAATACAATATAAATACTTTAAAACCATAACAAAAATATGCAGTCTAAGTTTTGTTGTTGTCATTAAATGTGAATGAAAGAGATTTATGTGACCGTCAGAATGCTCGGAGTAGACTTGTAGTCAGATTACGTGCTAAAGAGAGAGAAACAGATAGAGTTGAGCAATAAGCCTCCGAGTGTTTCTCTGAGGGAGCTTGCAGTAGGATATAGGGCATCAATTACGCCCAAGTTGCAATTTTTCCCAAACAAGGAAGCGTTTTCTCTTCTCAGTGTAAACAGTACAGCCCACCAGCAGTTGTGACTCAGATCTGTGTAAGAGGGCAGAAACAAACACATTAAGGTATAGGTTTCCCCAAACACTTCAGTATGATGTTCTTGTGATTTAGGCTGTTTTATGCAGATAAACAGCCTAAAGGGATCCACTACAGCACTAAACAGTTTAAATTATGTTTACTTAGTTACTGTTTGTATTTAAAGGGTTAGTTCACCCAAAAATGAAAATTCTGTCATTTATTACTCACCCTCATGTCGTTCCAAACCTGTAAGACCTCTGTTCATCTTCGGAACACAAATGAAGATAAAAAAATATATAAAAATTATCTTCATTTGTGTTCCGAAGATGAAGAAGGTCTTACGGGTTTGGAACAACATGAGGGTGAGTAACTAATTAATGACTGAAATTTCATTTTTGGGTGAACTAACCCTTTAATAGATCAATGACAGAACATAATATGCTTGTAATATGCTTCTACACAACTGTTAAAACATTTTGGGTCAGAAAGATTTCTTAAGGTTTCTGAAAGATGTCTCGTATGCTCACAAAGGCTACATTTATTTGATTAAAAATACATTAAAACAGTAAAACTGTGAAATATTATTACAATTTAAAATAACTTGTATAAATTAATATATTTAAAGTGCATTTTATTCCTTTGATGGCAAAGCTGATTTTTCAGCATCATTACTTCAGTCTTCAGTGTCACATGATCCTTCAGAAATCATTCTAATATGCTGATTTGGTGCTCAAGAAACATTTATTATTGTTATCAATGTTGAAAACTGCTAAATATTTTTGTAGAAAATTTGGAGTTTATCTGGATTCTAGAAAATTCAGAAGAACAGAACTACAATTTGAACTATAAACATTTCTACGGTTACTTCGATTTAATGTGTCTTTTCTAAATAAAAGTATTGGTTTCTTTAGAAAGAAAAAAATGCTGACCCAACATTTGAACAGTAATGTATCTAAGTTGTACAGTGAACATACTAATACAGGCAACAGAAACTAATCCCAGCACTTTGATATTTAGAACAAATAAGACACCGTTGCTCCTGTCATGATAAAAAAGAATCGTGTACTTACGTCATCAATTTCCTCATCGTCATTACCAATATCATCAAACAGAATCTCATCATCATCTCCAGGTCCAAATGTGTCCGTTTCATTGATTTTAGCTGCAGGAAAGACAACAAGAGATCAGCCAAAAGTCTTTTGAACTTTAGAACACACTATCATCCTTGAGGATATAAAACTTGTGCTATGTGAGCTTTACTTGTGTATACTATATCATCTGGCACTTTTAATCGTGGTGGGTGATTTGTTTTAGTACCATGACATTTCCATTAAAACCACTAAACAGTAAAAAAAAAAGACAAAAATATGACTAATGCCAGTTTGAGACTTACCATGTTCTGGAAGTTCTCCGTAGGCTTTAAGACTGCGAGCCTCATCTGCATTGTATTTTAAAATGACATCTGCTTTGTTGTCCTGTGAAAATAAACTAAATGAAAATTGCAAATAATAATATAATAAAATGTCTATTAAATAAAAATTACGCGGGGAAAAGAAAAAAGATCACCACCTACCTGGTAATCTCTAAGACCAACAAGGATTATGTCAGATGCATTGATCCAAACCTAAAGGAGATAAAACAATGTGTTGAATACTTGGCCTAGAAAAAAGTCTAATGATCACCATAAAAAAAAAGTTAGGTAAGCATTGTCCTTTTTAAATAATCTTCTATGCAAGCAGAAATAAGAGGTCAAATTAAACTTAAATTATATGAAAGCATCTAAACCATACAGCCATTGAAAAAGTCATTCCGATTCATAAGCCTACAGAATATCACTTCAGATCACAGATCTGATTTTTATATTTGTGTACATTTTTTATGTGTGAACAGCATGTGTATTGAAACATGCTGAACCAAAATTTCCCCATGGGACAATGAAAGCCAATACAAAGAAGAGACTGTCGTCATTAACATTATCATACCTTTTTCCGCAGCTTTCCTCGGATGTGGCAAAGCCGCTTGACCCCATCAAAGCACATGGCCTCTAGCCGCCCATTTCCCAGCATCTTTATCACCTGGGCATATTCTAGCACACGACATTGGGAGATTTTATATAACTGAAGATCATCTTGGCTTTGGTTTTGGCTTAACTAAAACTACCATTCAAAAGTTTGGGGTAAGTAAGACTTTTTTTGAAAGAATTGATCCAAAAAAAACAAAAACAAAAAAGTATACAAAAGCAGTAATATTGTGAAATATTACTAAAATCATTTATTTTAATATATTTTAAAATGTAATTTTCAGCAGCCATTACTCCAGTCTTCAGTGTCTCATGGTCCACCAGAAATCATTCTAGAAACTTTTCTTATTATTATCAATGTTGAAAACTGAGATCTTTTTTTTTTCTTCAGGATTCGTTGATGGATAGGGTTTAAAAGAACAGCATTTATTTAAAATGAAGAAATTTATAATCTATAATTTAATAAAAAAAATTTAAACAGGGTTCGAACTTCGTACAGATTCTGTAAAATTAAATTACAGGTCGCAAGGACTATTCAAGCACTAGTTTTTTTGGTTTTCAAGGGCTACAATCAGCAGCACTTATCAAACAATATATTTATAAATTAAGGATTTTTTTTTTTTTACTCAAATTACAGATATAAGTATCCTAAATATAACATACAACTTATTTAATAATGTATATTAAATACAAATATATTATAATGGCTATTACAGTTCCATAAGTCATGTTTTACATTAGAATGTTGTCATACTTGATATTGAGAAACAGTCTGTATGTTGATAATGGGGATTTATCATAGTTAAGCCAGTAGGTGGCGCCAAGGGACTGACTTTAAGAGTGAGTTAGTAGATTTTTCGTTAAAAAAACCCGCTGATTCATTCTAGAAAGAGACAAGGTTGTAAACAAGGAAATGATTTTAACTTTGAACATCACCTTATAATAAATTAAACACTAATTTAATATATATATATTGTATTTCAATAATTCAAACACTTTTCAACAACCTCTTCATATATATGGCTGTTTTTAAGGGTTTTCCAGGACTTAAATTTCAAAAAGTCAAATTCAACTACTTCAAGCACCTTGTACGAACTCTGTAAAAAGATTTGCAGTGGTTCTCAATTCTGGTCCTGGCGACCCACTGCTGTGCAGATGTTGTATTTCTCTTATCTAAAACCTGATTCAGACCATCAGCTTGTTTAGGAGAGAGATCTATAAACCTAAACGAAACTACATCTACACTCCTCAAATCCAGTTATGGAGGGCCACTGATCAACAGTAATCCACCAAAACATGAGGGCCATTGCATTTTAGACCATACATTGATTAAGCGCAACCACGCGTGAATAGTGGGATATCTTGATAAAAAAATTATCATGTCATAAGAATTGCATGAGAACTTTATGTCTGGTCCCCTGTTATCATCTCAGTGATCTTTTATTATGTTTTGCAAGTGCAGTAAGATGATTAAGGCGTTTTCCAATGTTTTAGTGTGAAACTTTTGGAAAATGCTTGAAAATGCTAATGCGAGTGGACGAGAGTGTTGGAAATGAAAACATTTTAAAATATATCTGATTTAATACAGACATAGCCAGAGTGTCACGGGGCTGGAATTGAGAAACACTGATCCTTACTTAAAGTGTTAATTTCTTAAAAAAAAAAAAAAAAAACATAAAAGTCTTACTGACCCCAAAATCTTGACAAAAAAATAAATAAAAAAGTAAAGGAACACAAAATTATGCAGTGAAAATGTATTTGCATAAATATACAGAGGGCGTAACTAATCTATTAGTGGATTTGAACGATATCCCCCATGTTGATATTTACTTACCCTGGCCATCCTCCTTGAAAACCAGTTCTCTCTTCTCTGACTCGTTCTCGTTCTTACCACGCCGCCGATTCTTACCTCCTTTACCTGAAGAAAAGAAGACTCTGAATTATATTGTTTGTAAAAAGCAGATATAAGATCATCTCGTCAGTTCCCTCTCTCATCCTGGTTATCACCTTTTCCAAAATCTAAAACATTGGCCAACAAACCAACAGACACCTACAGTTATTTACACTCATGTGTGGCATACTGTGCATGTTCTAAATTGTTTTTTTTCCTTGCCATTGTAACTGTTGTGGTTAATTTTCTCTCTGAATAGTCACATTATAAAGCCTACTGTATTCTGCATTTTTGATACATGAACGACACATGCCTTCTGCCCTCTGAATGATCATTTCATTTATAAAAAATATTGCAAGTAAAAGGCCTATTAGTATAAAAATGTTCACCTTCAGGTTGTGGTACATTAATGATTTAACGTAAGAATAACTTTTAAATTGTTATGAATATTTACTGGACTGAAGCAACTTGTATTTACTTGCTTATACATTATATTTTCTTGATTATGATTTCCCTTGATTAATCATTTTACATCATATTGCAATACAATGATCTCAGCCATAATTGTATTGCATTATGTATCTTGCCCCAACAATAAATCTACATAGCTTTGATCATAAAACTGAACATTTAAATATCCTCTTACATATTATTGGGTAACATAGAGTGACAACTGATATTTGTATACATTTTATCTTAGTCTGCTGCAACTATTACATTACAAGCTGTCAGAATTTCATCTTTCTTTTCGGCCATATAAATAACAACAACTACACTCAAATGCATATTTTTGCTAGGTATGGGCCTCCGTTCCATATTCTCACTATATCATACTATATGGGCCATAAAAGCCTGATGTATCAAATATAATACAAACCATTAAACACATATGGCAATTTATTTTTTAACAAATATTTTGTCCAAAGGTTCATTAACGGTTCCATTTGAAAAAAAAAAATCGTCAGGCTTTACAATGTAAATTCACGTGTTACGCAGGATAAAACGACTTGTTTGGGTCGACTTATTTTTAACGAATAAGTTATGACTCAATTATTCAGTCATTACACAAGGCAATACACACAAAAGACAGGCGTTGTGCCGAATTTTAACTCCCTGACAAATTATTACACCCTCGTTGAGGCCGCTAACTGGTTGCCTAATCCTAACCACCACACCTAAATTAATCCTAAACCTGGGGAATCAGGGGGTAATAATAATCTAGCAGGGATCAGAATTCGGCACAACACCGGCGTAATGACGCAAGTTAACCCGCAGAAAGGGTAAACATCTTTAAAAACAGACAAACTGTCTGGTTAAACTCAAGTGTGTAAGTATCTTAATGATATACTAGCGCTCAACCAGCAGCGACTACCATTAGACAAGCAGCAACTAGTTTAGCGCATGTGAGGCTCATATGGTCACGTTGCTCGCAAAGGCCGGGTGGTTAGCTCGAGAGCTAGGCTAAAATCAGTTCCATTAACAGCTGTTTGTCTCAATCAAGGGTGTTCTGTTTCCCTTACCTTTATTCTTTGGCATGTTCGGATTACAAAGACTGCGGTCTTTATTCAATGATGTCGCTGAATAAATAAAGTTGAATTTCGAGGAGGACGTCAAATAATCTCCCTCTCTCTTTCGGAAGACTTCCGCTCAAAGCCATCTACGACTGCGCAAAGCATGACTTTCCAACAAAACTTTATTTATAATATCAAAGAGATCATTTTATTGAGCTAGGAATAAAATGCGTAAAAAAAATCGTGTTCATTGAGGACAAAGTTTTAATGCTGTTGAGTCATTCAAAGAAAAACATAAAACTGTATTGCAATATTTATTTTGTTTAAACTTGATAATTTTTTTAATACATGAATTAAAAACTGCTCTCCCAAGCACAAATGTGCTGAAAAAAAGTATGGCCTGTGTTATACAATAGAGGCCAGGAGAGATCACAAGGACATATTTCTCACTTGCACCGTGACTATTAAAAATACAGCAGCAACAATAAAAAAAAAAGTTTGACTAATTCTTGTAAATTAATTCCAGTACAAGAGAACACTGCATGTGGCCCAAGTCTCCCCAAACACGTGGCCTCACATACAAACATACATAAACATAGAGAACAGTTCATCAACAAGTATAAAAATAATACATTCTGAAATGTTTTTAAAATTCTGATTAAAAAAATTGGAGCAATCTTGGTTGATACAGCCTGCATATTTCCCTTTAATTTCATGGAGAGAATAAACAAAGAAATACAAAAAGAGGAGTGTTACAAATCACTTTGAGTAAGACAGCAGTATATTGGTCATTCCCAGTGAAAAACAAAACAAAAAAACCCTGCCCTTTTCTAATATAGCCACCTACAGTCACCTTCTACACAATTTTACCATAGCCATTAAGAAAAGATACAGCATACAATTTGTCTGATATTAGTTCTGATAAACAGCTATTATATTGGTCTGCTGGAGAGGAAAAAGATTCCAAGAATGAGGTCGCTATATGATTGCATTTTTTGTAAATCAAATGCCCTTTAAGACACATGTGCATGACAAAGGGTTTTTGGACCACTTTGCCCAATTAAAACACTATATTAACACGAAATACTTGGTTTGTGACATTCACTCTACGTTTCTAGGGACATACAATAAGGATTGTAAGTTTACTTGCATAGTTCTCTTTGATTTCACAAATGGTTTCAACACTGTGCCATGTTTAAACCATCTGAAGTTGCATATAGTGGCATCACTAACTGATTGCTCTTTCTCTTAAAAAGAAATGCTTGAGCAAGCCATTTCAGCATGTGAGGTCTGTCTTGAAGAGGGTGGGCACAGCTATGATTGGTGATGCTAGCAATAGTACAGTTCCATGCAGTCTCTAGACATGACATCACCATAATACAGAAAACAAACTGTATCACAGTCTCTTAACATAATGCATGATAATCTCCACACAGACTCAACAGAAATACTTTTATATTCATATATAATCCCATATGAAGTAAATTTCTAGAGTATTTTCATAAAACAATTGTACATGAATTTAACATTCTCCCAAGAGTTGTATAATATTCTACATGGTGATGCAGCGATGATGGACTGCCATTACATGACAACGCTAGAAGTGCCAGATATCTCACAAACGTATGTGCCATTTGTAGTTTGGGGTTAGATCTGAATGGTCACAGGGCGGTAGAGGTCAGCTTTTTGGCACCACGGCGCTGAGCAAGTGTGGAGCAACCCACCGGCTCCAGTACGGGAGAAACATTTCTGTTTAGGGCTGAATAGGTGGCCGCCATCGCTCCCTGAGATAAAAGGGCAAAATATTAATAAGAATATAAAGTCAAACACAAGCATTAAGTATTATAATGCAAAAGGGCTGTTGGGCTGACAGGGAAACCATAATTGTGTTTCTGATATTGTTAGTTTCACATTTGAAACTATTATCACAATGCAAACCTTCACTAGATGAGGGGCGTCCTGGCGGTTGAGTTGGTATTTGGGTAGCTGGTCCTTGTTGATTATCCATCGGTGACGAAGAACTTGAGCAGCGGTCAATCTCTTATGAGGGTCAACGTGAAGCATCTTTGATACCAGGTCCTGTCAACAAAGAAGTGTAAAGATCATAGATCAAACAGAGATAGAACATTTACATTTGGCTAAGAAGTGTGTTAAACAAAAAGAGAGCCTGCAACCTTTGCCTCAATTGATACAGAATTCCAGTATCCACCAGTCAGGGAAAATTTCCCACTGCCAATCCGAGCCAGAATTTCTTCCGGTGTATCTTCCGGCCCATTAGCAAATGGAGTGAACCTGAAGGATGGACAAGAGTGGTGAGTTTTGAAACTGACATGAATATTGTATTTGAGCTAAATCATGCTAAATCATCCAATTTCTTAGAAGATTTGCAACATTTGGAATATTAATACATTTTTTTTATTTAGTTAATGTACCCTGTAAGCATGGTATAAAGGAGAACTCCCAGACTCCATATATCACAAGCTGCATCATAGCCTTGCTTCTTCAGGACCTGAGCGGATAACACACAATAATAATAATTTACAATTTAATTTACTACAACAATACCATAATATAATTAGTGTTGTCCAAAATATAGATATTTCGAAATGTATCGATTAGGGCTGTCAAATGATTAATCGTGATTAATCACATCCAAAATAAAAGTTTTTTTACATAATATATGTGGGTGCACTGTGTATAATTATTTTATATATATATATATAAATACACACACATGCTTGTATATATTTAAGAAATATTTTCATGTATATACTGTATATAGATTTATATATAATTTATATTATATATAAATATTTTATATATAAATAATATTTTTTTCTTAAATATACATGCATGTGTGTGTATTTATATACAAAATAATTATACACAGTGCACCCACATATATCATGTAAAAAAAACTTTTATTTTGGATGTGATTAATCACGATTAATCATTTGACAGCCCTAGTATCGATACTTCTCTTCCTTCCAACAGCGAACTGACACACAACGCCTCATTCGCTCTGGTTGAATTGTGGTTGTATTGCGCATCATTTTACTAATTCCCGCATGTACCACTGATCTATACAAGTGGCGCGCATAAAGCCGCCTCTCAAACAGTGCGAGTACCAAATTTAGTTGTTTTTCATGGCTTATTGTGCTTCAAATACACACAAATTTGTCAAAATGCCCATCTTGGCGTGTGGCGTGTATTCAGGTAACAATAGTCCGTTTTGGAACGTAAATAGTTGAGAAAGTAAACATGTATAACGGATCAGTGCATCAACTCTTAAAGTGACAGCAGTCCAATGTTCCTACGCTGTCTATCATGTTAATCAAAGAACAACAGACAAAATCACTCACTGTTTTTGACTCAATAACTTTATTTTAAAATTAAAATTTTATAAATTAAATTTAACTTTAATTGTAAGCATTCATCTGTATTTAATTTTTACAATGAAGAATATCCAGTGTTATTTTACATTTGATTTCTTTATTTAATTCTTTTTGTATTCCTTACCTGAATACTACTGTTAGACCCACCTCATTTGTCTCTTTATCCTATATTTATTTGTGCAATCGATTGCAGTTTGTTTATTTGTTTTAATTTTATTACTGGCTGTTTATTTTAATTTTTTTTTGTAAATTTAATTCAGAGTTTCAAATAAAACCTCCCTGTGCTGTGTGTGAGCTATTGCAACAATATATCCAAATTATCAAAAAAATATGAGATAATAAAAAAATATCTGTATGGCAGTATATATGGCAGTTTTTTCGTGGTATCGAAAAATCAATATTTTTCAAGGTATCGTATCGAAGTTGGAAAGTCTGGTATTGTGACAACACTAAATATAATATAATATATTAGAACATACACAAAATCTAGATGTATCTAGTCTCCCATCTAAAACAAATACAGATCAACAGGTACCTCTGGAGCCACAAAGTTAGCAGTGTAGCATGGTGTCATCAGCAGCCCGTTTTCTGCTCTAAGTTGTTTGGCAAAACCAAAATCACAGATCCTGATTGATTCTGGGTTGCCCGATTCATCCACATACAATATATTACTGGGCTTTAGGTCTCTGTGTACTACCTGCAACCAAAGTGCCAATATATTAACCATAATAATATATAAACATAAAATATTTATTTAAATAAATAAATGCATTGATAACCAAAGTGCCAATCTATTAACCCTAATAAACTCATAATAAAATAACAATACATATATTCATAGAAAATATATAGTACCTGTCAAAAGTTCGGAAACATTCAAATTAAAAAGGATCATCTGACACTGAAGACTGGAGTAATGATCCTGAAAATTCAGCTTTGCCATCACAGGAAATGACATTTTAAAATATATTAAAAATATAAAACAGTTCTTTTAATTTATTACTGAATTACTGAATTTTTGATTAAATAAATGCAGCATTGGTAAGCATAAGAGAATTATTTCAAAAACACTTGGATTTTTTACTAAATGTTAATGTTTCCAAACTTTTGACAGGTTTCTGGACACATTAAATATTTTCTGTAATATTTGGTGTGTGTAAACACTTTTACCCCTTGGGCATGCAGATATTCAACAGTCTTTGTAATGGTGTGGAGGACAGCGCTGGCCTCTCTCTCAGAGAAAAACTTTTGTCGGAGGATTTTATCCAGTAGTTCTCCACCTTTCATCAACTCTGTGACCAGGTACACTGATCGCCCCTCGTCGAATACCTATAACCCCACACAGACTCAGAATAACGGCAGACAACACCAGGGATATTTGAGTTATACGTTTCCAACAGACAGGCACACAAACAAAAGTCACTCACGTCCTTCAGAGTAATGATGTTAGGATGTTGTCCATATCGCCGCAGAATCTCAACCTCCTCTGCTGGATCTCTCTTCTCCTTATTGATAATCTGTTTTGTCAGTAAGAATTCTTTATGCATTAGCCAATATGCATTAAATTAATCAAAAGTCACAGTAAAAACCTTTACATTGTTGCAAATAAAAAGATTTCAAATAAATGCTGCTCTTTTGAGCTTTCTATTCATCAAAGAATTCTAAAAAAATCCATCACGATTTCCACAAAAATATGAAGCAGCACAACCATTTTCAACATTGAAAACAATATGACATGTTTCTTGAGCACCAAATCAGCATATTAGAATGATTTCCAAAAGATCTGACACTTAAAAATAGATGAAATTTTACAGTATATTAAAATAGAAAAAGGTTATTCTAAGTTCATATCACTGTAATATCACTGTTTTTACTGTATTTTTGGTCAAATAAATTCAGCCTTGGTGAGCATAAGAGACTTCTTTCAAAAGTCAAAATAAAATCTTACTGACCCCAAAACTTTGAATGGTAGTGTATACTTATTGAAAAAAAATTTTTTTTACAAATGATTAAACCTCTTCTAAAACTGACACACCAATCAGAAGTGCCAATCCAGCTCTCTTTAAAAGTGTTAGAACCCTAAACACATCAATAAAACAGATGAAGAGGTATGTGGTTACCTTACCTTAACTGCATAGTCCATTGCTGAGCTCTTGTGCACACAGCGCTTGCAGATGGAATAGGAGCCCACACCAATGTCTTCTTTAACATCATACACATCCGTGAACTGAAGCGTGCTCCGGTAGGGTTGCTGTGTATGTAGCATTCACACATGCACTTTATTCCCATGTGTACAGATGTTGAAGGGGTTTGAGAGGAGCGTGCGAGTGATGCGAGTATACCTGCAGTATGCCACTCAAGTTGATGTTGCTCTGAATGGGCGGCTGGCTCTCCTCTTCTACTCCCGTAGCAACAAAGCTAAACCCTCTGAAGAGCTGATGAGCATTGGCACTTGGAGGGATACCAGGAGAGTCTGGGACCAAAGAAAAAGGAAAGTGAGTACCATCCAATTGTTATGCCTAGAAATGCATCTACTGCTAGGAAAGGGAATGTTTGCATCGCTTACCTCGAGGGGTTTTGGCAGTGAATTCTGAGTCAAAGTAGATTGTATCGTCTGGCCTCTGGATGGCTGGTTTAAAGGGAGGAGGCAATTCCTTTCTGAATAATTTCTAGAGGTAAAACAAATACTAATTTCTGTAAGCATACAAATTAGGAATGCATTGATATTACAATTCTGGCTGATACTTATAAGTCAATAATTAATTGCATGTTATAGCCAATAACGGTTCAATGGTTGATATAGATAATGATAAACTATTTTACCTAATTCAATTTAAAAATACAACACTAAACAATAAAAATCACTCGTTTTAAATGCTACACGTGAATTTAGGCATCACAATATTATAATGTACAGTATAAAAAAGATATTCATTCGGAGATTTGCTAACTATTACATTTAACCGTTATTGAATTACCAGTGCTTTTAAAACTAACTTTAGGTGAGCATTAGATAACAGCAAAGGTAATGCAAAAAAAAAAAATGCACAAGCTCAATGAAATGTCTAATATTGGCTGATAATTAACCAATATTGACAGATACTGATAAAAAAAAAAAAAAAAACTTTTGTATTCCACGTTAAAAAAAAATATATATATACATGGTAAGAGAGACATGAGGATGAGTAAATTATTTTTTTTGGACTTATATCTTTAATTTGGGATTTATTCAATTTCTTATGAACTTACATTCCAGTCAATTGTGTTGAAGAATGAATGTCTTTTGATCTCTTCTACTCCATCAGGCCCAGCTCCTGAAATTCAATCCCAAGTATTTAATGAACAGACTGAAAAATGCACCAAATTTACTCAGCATGAACAACCTGTTCTTTGAAACAAGCTGACAATGATCTTTTTCACCTAAGCGGTTGCCAGGATTCCTCTTGAACAGATTGCGGAGCAGAGACTGGGCCTCGGGGCTGAGAAACTGAGGCATTCCTAGCTTAGCCCTTGAGGCACAAAAAACAATGTCAGTGCAAAGACTCAGGTATGAAAATCAATATTGAGGAAATAAGGCTCACTTTAAGATCATTGTCATGGTTTCCTTGCGGTCTTTTCCTTGGAATGGAAGTGTTCCAGTCAGCATTTCAAACTAAGGAGGTAGAATTACACAATCACTGCACTGATACACAAATATTATGTTTGACAAACTTTATTGATGATGAATTATGTTAGAGTTTATTTGAAACTGAAGTGTAATTTCAGCATAGCCCCGCCCCTCTCACCATTAGAACGCCATAGGACCACCAATCAGCACTGTGGGTATGACCTCTGCGGTTGACAACCTCCGGAGCCATATACTCCACCGTACCACAAAATGAATAAGCCTTGTTCTCATGGTCAATGGACTCTTTACTCAACCCAAAGTCTAAGTAACACACACATAGACAACAAATCAAATACATACTGATACATATACCATTGTGAGATTCTCACAAAATGTTCATACCTAGTTCTTACCCTAGTTAGACCCAAGATTATTTTATACTAATATAAGCCCTTATCATTATGCAGTAATAAAACACACATACCTGTAAGTTTGATGTGTCCATCATTATCCAAAAGAATACTGTAAGAGATCCAAATTTGGTTCACATATGAAAATGTGCAATGCATTGGCTTAGTCAAAGTGTTGTAATTATACACGGTCTAGTATATAGTCATTGTTTACAAGTAAATGATGTGTTCTTAAACATGTAGCAGTTACCCAGCATCTGTCCTTCTATTTGTGAAAAAAATCAGTTTGCCATCAGTTGTTGTCAGAAGATAAAAGCGAGTTTCCGTTCAATGTTTGAGGGGATTTCCCACGACCGGAGTCAGCGCTGTTCAACGCATTGAATCAATGCCATTGATCTCTATGAAGTAATACATCAGCTTCAGCGTTACCCAGCTGATGCTTTGATCGTCAATTGAGCATTGTGAAGTGGCACGCAAAGTTAAAGTAATATCAACACCTTGTTTATTTCATAAATGAATCAGCGGTTTTTGTTTATGAAAGTTTTATTGATGACTCAAGGATAAAGACAGTCCCTTGCCGCCACCTACTGGCGTAACAATGTAACTGCACTGACTGACAGCCTGTCTAGCGCACACAGAGACGTACCAGTGCTGCGGAAACTTCTGAAATAGCACTTTTGGAAAGCCTCTTGTCCAGTAAACATTCGAGAATCAAAACTAACTGTTATAAATATATTAATAGTTAGTAATCATTTTATAATATAACAAAATAATAATAATAATTATTATAAAATGGCGATAATATCGAGCCACTCAAAATTACCGCAAGGGAAATTTACCGCGACAGCCCTAACATCGCAGTTTATGTAATATGTGGGTGAGTAACACACTTTTCTGGTTTAAGATCTCTGTAGATGATTCCCAGTCCATGTAAATGGTTCAAAGCCAAAGCCAGTTCTGCAAGGTAGAACTTTACATCCTCCTCTGTAAACATAACCTGAAAAAAGACATAAAAGAGTGGTAGAAGAATTAGCAGACCTTGATCTATTCTAATATTCATTCTTAATTCTTAATCATTTTTTAATGCTTGTTCACAATTTAAATGAGGTTAATGTACACTACAAGTTTGAGGTCAGTAAGATTACAAGTTTGCGGTCAGTAAGATTAAAATGTTTTACATTTTTTTGTTGAACGTTTGTTTGTTTTTAATTTAGCGCCACACCAACTACCACGGCTTTATTCATGGCAAAAAAAAAACAAGTGGAAAAAGTTAGAAAGTAAATATATAAGCAACTAAACTATGTATAACCAACAAATAAAAGCAAAATGTATAAAAATGTTTTTAAAGTTTCTTAAAAAAAATCTACAACTAATCTCGTACAAATAAATGTATTAAAGGCAAGGCAAGGCAAGGCAAGTTTATTTATATAGCACATTTCATACACAATGGTAATTCAAAGTGCTTTACATAGGAGGAAATAATTAAAACAGTTTAGAATAAAAAATAAAATAAAGTACAGTAAAAACAGTCGGACGAACATTGGCACAGTGCTCATTCAGTAAATGCACAGCTAAACAGATGTGTTTTGAGTCTGGCTTTGAATGTGACTACTGTAGGAGCACATCTGATCTCCTCTGGAAGCTGGTTCCAGCTGCGGCTGGCATAATAGCTAAAAGCAGACTCTCCATGCTTAGAGTGAACCCTTGGTATTTCTAGCTGATGTGATCCTAATGATCTGAGTGATCTGTTCGGTTTATATTCAGTGAGCAAATCTCCAATATATTGAGGTCCTAACCCATTGAATGATTTATATACCAGTAATAATACTTTAAAATCAATCCTAAATGTAACTGGGAGCCAGTGTAAAGACCTGAGGACTGGTGTGATATGTTCATATTTTCTGGTTCTGCTCAGAATCCTGGCAGCTGCGTTCTGTATGAGCTGCAACTGTCTTATGGTCTTTTTAGGAAGACCAGTGAGGAGTCCATTACAATAACCCACCCTGCTGGTGATAAAAGCATGCACAAGTTTCTCTAAGTCTTGACTGGAAACAAAGCATCTAATTCTTGCAATATTTTTCAAATGATAGTTTGCTGATTTAGTTATTGCTTTGACATGACTACTGAAACTAAGGTCTGACTCTGGAGACACACCAAGATTTCTGACTTGATTTTTAGTTGTTTGACCCCTAGCGTCAAGGTATGCATTCACCTTGAGAACTTCATCTTTGTTTCCAAACGCAATGACTTCAGTTTTGTCTTTGTTTAACTGAAGAAAGTTTTGGCACATCAAACCGTTTAAAGTAAAATAAAGAATCCTAGAGTTTATTTCTTAAAAGAAATTAATACTTTTATTCAGCAAAGATGCATTAAACTGATTAAAAAGTTACAGTAAAGACTTTTAAATTGTTGCAAAATTGTTATAAATTACCTATCTAAAAATTCTTCCTTTCCATCAAAGAATACTGAAAAAAATTATTTTGGTTTCCACAAAAAAAATAAGCAGCGCAACTGTTTTATATTTAAAAACAAAACAGACACTTAACACGATCTAATGATGTATAACACTTATATGTAAGAGTATTTTGAGTCTCTTTTACACTGATAAGAAAAAAAGCGAGCTGATCACGCCGGAGTGATTGCCGACCCCAGAGGGTTAAGCACCTAATCAGAATATTAGAATGATTTCTGAAGGATTGTGTGACACTGAAGACTGAAGTAATGGCTGCTGACAGAAATAAATTACATTTTAAAATTAAAATAGAAAACAGTCCTTAAATTATAATAATATTTCTGTTTTTACTGTATTTTTGACCAAATAAATGGTGATTGCAAGAGAATTATTTCAATTTTTTTTAAATCCTACCAATCCCAAACGGTAGTGTACATGTTGGATTTATCTGTACTAGACATGTAATTCACCTCTTTGGACAGGCGAGTGAAGAGATCTCCTCCTCTGAGGAAGTCCAGAATCAGATAGAGTTTACCCTCTGTCTGAAATGCTGAGGAATCAAAATTAAAGTTGCAAGATCTGTAACAAGGGTACTAAAATGTAATTTGGACATTCTTAAAGTTCCTTGGGCTAGGCAAAGGAACCGTAAAAAACTATTTAGTTAACAAACAAGAACTTAATAGTAATCCAGAAAACAAGATACGATGATGTACTGCAAGTTCAACAGAAATCCACAACCGTGAAGCATAAAAATCTGATTGGTGATGGGATGTCAATAACTTACCATAGTGCAGTTTAACAATAAAAGGATGGTTGACCTCAACTAGGATGTCTCTCTCCATCTTTGTACGCACTCGATCTCGTACTGAAACCACACACACCCAAATATAAACAAACATTATAAATAATAACTTAATAAACTTTATTTTTTAGTGTGTACATGTTCAATAACAAAGACATAAAACAACATACAAAACACACACACCTTTCAGTGTAGCTTTCTTTAGCACTTTCATAGCATAGAGCTGTCCTGCATCGGGCACAGTTATCTTCTTGACTAGGAAAACCTGCACAAACACGCACCATTATTAACAGAAACCAGCAGAACAATGCTTCTAAATGTAAACACGAATCAATTGCAGTTATTTTACTCATACATGTGCAGTTCACCTGACCTTGCCAAAAGATCCCTGGCCCAGAACCTTGCAGAGCTCAAACTGTCGTGGGTCCGCTTTCTCCGAACCCTCCTTGACATGGTGAGTGATGCTGATTTCCTTGACAGAGCCCTCCTCCTATGAAAGAGACAAATGACATATGAGCACCCACAAAACATGCAATGCAACACCAAACACACACACACACACAACTTATCTTGTTCTGTACTGTTAGAAACATAGTGATGACAGCAGTGTAACTTAAAAAAACAACAACACCACCACCACTAAAATCAAATGTCAGGAAACACCAACAGCACTTCATCACATCAATACAAATTCATGCCCAAAAAATGCACTTAAGGTCAGGCAAACAAACACACACACACAATATGAGAGGATGTTAAAGAGAAGCCTGGATGGCTGGTGTCTCTGCAGAGGAGCAGCGTGCCAAAGCCTGTGGGAGGAGAAAGAGAATGAACACCACAAACAAGTAGTGAGGGGGTTAAACCAGGCCCATCTGACAAAATGAACAAATAGCTGACTGAATGCCCACAAATGAGCAGAAGAGATCAGGAAGGGGAGAACTGATCTTCAGAGACAGAGCAAGAGTGCTGTCAGAATCGTCTAACTCTGGACACTAAAATGCTAATTAATGGTAAAATTGGATAGAGCTGAGAGCACTACACTTCATAGAGATCTCTTTTTGCTTTCCCTCCTGCTCTCTCTTATTCTTAACATAAACTTGAGATGGAAATGAGGGGGGTAGTGACTTATAATCTAGTAGTCACCCACACATATTTTGATCAATAAATGCCACACACCAGTCTGCCTGAATGAGACCGACTGGTGGATGATATCTGATAATCTATTGATGGTGGAAAAATACCACAGACATCAATATCTACCACAGAGGTAAAAAATGACACAAAGAAAGCGATGGGACATACGGGTGTTTGTACATGTGTAAAACAGCACCTGCAACTGGCATGCAAGTCGCTTTGTGTCAGCACATAGAGCAGCACATTGTTTTTTGTGCGTTTTTTTTTGCGTTTGTGTTATTTGATTGCAGTAACCATATTTTTTGGGGGAGACTGCATACTTCATTAATAATCCACACTTCCCTTCTGACCTGCTTTCACTAGCAGTTCTAGATGACCAAATAGTTAAAAGCTCATCAAATAACAGATAGTATCATTGGTTTCATAAACAAGGATAAGGATGTTTTATGGAGTCAAATAAGGATGTTTTATTAAGCAAATTCATTAAGCGCTAAATGATATGGTAACTGATATGTAGACAATAACAGTTGTATAACAGTTAATAACACACAATAATGTGTTAATAGCGGTTAATACATCATGCATTTTAGCATAGCTAAAACATTGTAATGACCAAACTGCACACCGGACCAGAAATCAGAAATATCCATTTGAAATGTTCTCTTATGCCAAATTTACAGTGGCACAGAAGCGCTTTTGATGTGGCATTTAGATATATTTACACAGACTGTTTAATGCTGCTCAAACAAAGTGACAAATGCATTTACAACTGTATACTTTGACAGAGCGCACATAATTTAGTCTGGCTTTAATGCGTCATTGCATCTTTACACTGAGTTTGAGCGGGCACAGAGCAGCCTTAACTTGGATGTGTAAAGAGACGCATTAATAAGAGGGAGATTTAATGTAATATGTCATTGTATAGGACCCAGAAATTAATGCTTGTTCTTGGTAGCTTTTAAGTGAATTCTTCTGACATGCCATTTTAAATTCATTTCCTATGTATCTATCTTATAATCATGCCACAACCACAACAAAGGATTTGCATAAAAGAAATTAACTTAAATAAGGGTGCATAAGTCTATGCAAATGAATCTAAAACTAAATTGATGAATTCTGGATTTAAATTCTAGAAGCTTCAGAGCAGATGAGATGACTGAGGGGGCCTGATATGAGAAAGAGGACTCTGCGACAGTGTTGGCAGATCTCAGAAGAGACTTCAACTAAAGTGTGACCAAGGATGATGACTGAGGTACACCTCACAACAGGAACAGGAAGTGTGCGTGGCGTGGGTGTTTTTACACACACATTGTCTCAACAATCCTCCTTCCCACATACACGCACACATACAATGGGACAGGCCTAAAAATATACAATAGCGTTCAAAAGTTTGGGGTCAGTACTTTTTAAAAAAAAGAAAAAGTGTAAAGGAAAAATGAAAAATGTAACTGTGCAAAAGTCTTTACAAATAAATGCTGTTCTTTTCAACTTTCCATCCATCAAAAAAAATCTATCCCGGTTTCCACAAAAAATCTTAAACAGGCCCAACTGTTTAACATTGATAAGAAATATTTCCTGAGAATGATTTTTGAAGGTTCATGTGACACTGAAAGACTGGAGTAATGGCGGCAAAATTTGTAGCTTTGCCTTTCTTTTTTTACAATATTACTGTTTTACTGCTTCACTGATCCATTAAATGCAGCCTTGGTGAGCATAAGAGACTTATTTTTAAAAAACTTTTAAAAATCTTACCAACCCCAAACTTTTAAACAGTAGTGTAATGGCTACAAGTCAACACACTGCTTTGGGTCACAATCAGCCCCATCAAATGATATCTGTTTTCAGTTTCTGCTGGGTTAGTGGAAAATGAAGCTCTGCTTGAAGAGAACGCTGAACATCCTCTTCTCCTACTGGCTGCTTGCCATGTCACTCATCCAACAGGAAACCAATAAAACCAGGCTGTCCTCTGAGACAGGAAACGTGATGTTAAAAGATAACTAGCTTACATAGGAAACACATCTTTGAATTGAAAGACAGTGGGGCATTACAGTACATCAAACTGTTCCTCAAGCTGTGAATGAAGAGCTTGTCTGATAAACTGCGAGGAACCAAAGTTGAACTGCTGTAATCTGTCAACATAATTGAGTTTAACAGACATGCTGTCTAATATGCAGATTGCATACACACATACCCAAACTACATACAACTGCACACACTGACAGATCACATGTTCACATAGAACATACACATTTACATAGTGTTGAACTTACTTGAACAGGACCATCATCATCTACCATGGAGTCATCCTACAAAACAGGAAAAAATATGATGTTTTTAACACAAACCATAGTAAAAAACTTTGTTACATCATGTTACTATTACAAGCCAGGACTGAAATCACAACATGTCAACAATTACAGAAAAACAAAGCATCTTATAAGCATCTAACCTATAGTAAACTAGGCCTACATGTTATTTTATTTAGTTGTCTATTCTAAATTGCAGGAGAATGGTGATCTCTATTTAAAGAAATATCAAATCACCAGACCATGTGTTGACAAGAGTAAAATGGCAGTGTGGAAGATTGTTGTTTACATAAAGTCACAGACTTAGTGATTATTTATAGGTCCACACACAAACAAGGCACTAAAAACAAGCAGCGTAGGAAAGCTATTTTCAGGCCACGGGATTAGCCTGGATCAAAGGGAAGTTAATAGAGAAAGAGTACCAGAGGATAAAGGGCTAACAGAGTAGGAGACAATACTTGTTACTATTTATTAACTCAGAAGAAGTATCTTATGCTCACCAAGGCTGCATTTATTTGATCAAATATAATATTGTGAAATATTATTAAAATAACTTTTTTTTCAATTTTTAATATATTTTAAAATGTATTTTTTTTTTCTGTGATGGCAAAGCAGAATTTTCTCCAGCGTCATTACTCCAGTCTTCAGAGTCACATGATCCTTCAGAAATCATTCTAATAAGCTGATTTTGTCCGTAATAAACATTTCTTATAATCAGTGGAAAACAGCTGCTTGATATTTTTTAAGAAACCATACCATAGATTTTTTTACAGGATTCTTTGATAAATGGAAAGTTTAAAAGAGCATAAATTATTTGAAATAGAAATATTTTGTAACATTACCGTTTTTACTATTATTCAGCAAGTGTGTATTAAATTAATCGAAATTAAAGTATTAATTTCTCTTTTTTTTTTTTTACATACAGACAGAACATTGGTGGTGGTTGAGGAGATTCCCCCTTCCATGTAAAGCGCTTTGAGTACCCAGACAAGCGCTATATAAATGTAACAAATTATTATTATTATTATTATAAAACAAAAACCAGAGTGTTTAAACACACATAAACATTTGTGTGTTTACATACATAAACACACAAAATGTGTTTATGTAAACAACAGTCTTCCACACTGCCATTTTACTCTTATCAACACATGGTCTGGTGATTTGATATTTTTTTAAATAGAGATCACCATTCTCCTGCAATTTAGAATAGACAACTAAATAAAAATAACATGTAGGCCTAGTTTACTATAGGTTCTGACAAAATGTTAATTGCTGCAGTTTAAATTTTTTAATTATTATTATTATTATTATTATTAAATCTATTTAGATTAGTGATTCAATGACTCAGTTATGAAGGCCCTGTCCTACATGCCACACTTCATATTACGGTCTTGTGGACTTAAAACGGGTAAAATAAGGAAGTCTAATTTTTATCAAATTCTGATATCAGCCAGTCTAAAAGCCAGATTCACAAAAACCTTCATAAGAAAGAAGTAAACAAAAAAAATTCTTAAGATAAATTCCAAGTAGTTCGTAAGAATGTTCCCAAGCACAATTCTTCTAAAATTCTTGAGAAATTCTCAAATATTTTTAAAGAACATTCTTAAGGACAAGAAAAAAAATGGCCACTCTTATATGTGCTGAATGCTATGGAAGCTTGTTTCCGCCACTGAACAAAAAATTTTTTTTTTAAAAATTGCGACTTTTTATCTCACAATTGCGAGATATGAAGTCAGAATTGTGAGAAATAAAGTCGTAATTGCGAGATATAGTCGCAATTCTGAGAAATAAAGTCGCAATTCTGAGAAATAAAGACGCAATTGAGAGATATAAAGTCGCAATTATGAGAAATAAAGTCGCAATTGCGAGAAAAAAGACAGGATTGCGACTTTTTATCTCACATTTCTGACTTTTTTTCTCACAATTGCGAGTTTACATCTTGCAATACTGAATTTATAACACATAATTGCGAGTTTATATCTCGAAATTCTGACATCTTTTCTCAGAATTGTGAGATATAAACTCGCAATTGCGAGTTATCAGCCCAATTCTATAAGAGGGAAAAAAAGACTAACTTTTTTCCCCTCAGAATAGTTTATATCTCACAATTCTGACTTTACAACACGCAATTTCGACTTTATATCACGCAATTCTGACTTTATAACACGCAATTGCGACTTTATTTCACGCAATTCTGACTTTACAACACGCAATTGCGACTTTATATGACGCAATTCTTACTTTATAACCTGCAATTGCGACTTTATATCAATAAATTCTGACTATATCTCGCAATTGTGAGAAATAAAGTCAGAACTGCGAGATGTAAACTCGCAATTGTGAGGAAAAAAAGTCAGAATTGTGAGATAAAAAGTCGCAATTACCTTTTATATTTTTCATTCTGTGGCGGAAACAAGCTTCCATAGAATGCTGCCAAAAGTGATGTCGTTATTAGGCTAAAATTAAAAACGAGGTCCCTATTTTTGACTTGTTTTTTGTCAAGTTGCTTTAGATTTTCAAAGCAGATTTCAAAGTTGCTTTAGATTTTTTCCAGCAGTGTCACATCACACATAATCATCATCACTGATCAACGTTTACATTATCAATCATTGCTCGTGTCACTTCAGAGAACTTGTGCACATCTCTAGTAGTAATATGTAGGCTATTATATGTTCTGGGAGCGACCTAGGCTCTACCGTGCAGATGGCCTGCACCCCAGCAGCATCGGAGCGGCTGTTCTGTCGGACAACATCTCCAAGACGTTGCACACCATCTGACTAGTAAGTCAAAGTCCAAATCACAATCTTTGCTGTCCCAACCTAATTGATATAAGTAGTGTAGAACATTATATAGAAACTGTGTCTATTCCTCGTTTAGTGAGGCCAAACAATAAATCTACTGTAGGATCTAGGAAAAATCTTATTGTAATTAAACCAGAAATTCTCAATATCAGTGAACAATAGGGGTGTAACGATACACAAAATTGACGGTTCGGTTTTCCCACGGTTTTGACATCTCGGTTCGGTTTGGTTTATAAAGCTAAAATTGGTTCTTTTTTTTTTTTTTAAACAGTGGTTTAACGAAAAAATGGTCTTTCTTTAAATTAATTCAATTACAATTAAACGTTTCACAAGGATAAAAAAAAAATCTGCTAAATCTGTAAACTATATAGGGAGCCGCACATTACTATAACATTAAAGGTTGTAGCCTAGACTTTTAACCTAAATTCAGATGCTATTTATTTTTTAGATATAATAATCAACACACAACACATTGTATGAAAACATGTGAACTGAACATAAGGCAGTTTTTGCATTAACTTGTGATTTTACTCTAATTTGTTATTGAAATATAATACTTTACACAGTTTTCATTTTCATGAAAGAGATTTTAAACATACATTAAATAATCAAGATATCATTAACAGGTTAAGTAAAATATAATATAAAGGCTAACATGGTGCATTTATTTAGTGCAAGAGTTCATTTATAGGAACCAAAGTTGTGGACACTGAATCACTTGCCTGTTGAGGTAAATATAATGCTAGTGACAAGATATGCTGTTTTGTTGACGTCTTTCCGCTGCTGAAACACTGATTGAGCGATTACACGAGTTATGATGCCTTTCAGTAAGTATACTGCATCTTTCAACATACCTTCAGGTGTCCATTCTGTAACTGAGGAAGAGATGATCGCGTTTACCCGCGCGCCGCGCTGCCGCTTGAAATGAGGAGCTTAGTAGGCATACAGCGATCTGTCACGCCACATCAAAGAGCGCCAAAACGCCATTTATTGTTTGAATTTCGTGATCAAATAGACAGAATTTGAAAGATTACACCTTGCTTATTATCGAAAGTAACAAAACACGGAGCTTGTTATTTGGTGTTAATGGTGGTTAGGCTACAAAACTGAATTTGTTGTGTACTGTACACAAGACATGAGGTCCATTGAGCCGGGCTGGGCGGGGCCGGGGTAGCAGGGGGCGGGGAGGGGCGTGTTCGGTACACAATGAGAGTATCGCGATTCGAATCGTGTGTTCTGTATCGCGGTTTTTCGGTTCGGTTCAAATATCGTTACACCCCTAGTGAACAAAAACAATTTCTAAAGCTAGGTCTTCTAAACATTAGATCGCTCACACCTAAGGCGGTTATTGTAAATGAAATGGTCACAGATAATAGTTTCGATGTATTTTGCCTTACTGAAACCTGGCTTAAACCAAATGATTATTTTGGTCTAAATGAGTCTACTCCACCAGGATACTGTTATAAGCATGAGGCCCGTCTGATCGGTCGTGGCGGCGGTGTTGCAACAATCTATAGAGATATTCTAAATGTTACTCAGAAAACAGGTCACAGGTTTAATTCGTTTGAAGTACTTGTGCTAAATGTTACGCTCTTAGATGTAAGAAAGAAATCCCTATTATCTCTAGCCTTGGCTACTGTATATAGACCTCCAGGGCCCTATGCTGATTTCCTAAAAGAGTTTGCAGACTTTCTCTCAGATCTATTGGTCAATGTCGATAAAGCAATAATTGTTGGAGATTTTAACATACACGTAGATAACACAAATGATGCGTTAGGGGCTGCGACTGCGTTTACAGATTTATTCAACTCCTTTGGGGTCAAGCAAAACGTCAGTGGTCCCACTCATCGTCTAAATCATACACTAGATTTAATTATATCATATGGAACCAATCTAACCGATATAGATATTATACCGCAAAGTGATGATGTCACTGATCATTACATGGTAACTTGCATAATACGTACTGCTGAAATTTGTCATGTTGCGCCACGTTATAGACCAGGCAGAACAATTCTCCCAACCACTATAGATAGATTCTCAAATAGCTTACCTGATCTATCTCAGCTGCTCAGTGAACCCAAACAAACAGATGAACTAGAGGAATTGACTAGCATTTTGAGCACCATTTTCTCTAGTACATTAGAAATTGCTGCACCAATTAGATTAAAAAAGGTTTGAGAGAAAACTAAAGCA